TGTTTGTTGCATTAATTAATGGAATAGTTGAAAAATTGACCTAATTTACTATTCTCGAATGTTGTGATCAAGACACATCGCTAACTTTGTGTGTGTCAAAGCATACATTAAAGCAGTTTATGGTAGATTTTCCAAGCATGAAGAAACTACATGTGAAGACTGACAATGCAGGCTGTTATTCTGGCAATATATGCAGCAAAAGCCGGTATCTGATGGTGAGTTTGGGGTTAAAAATACTTAGGCATGACGATAATGAAACCTCAGAGAAGTAAAGATCAAGCTGATCGAGAGAATGTAATTGCTAAAATGTTTATTAGAACATATTTATGTGATGGTCATGATGTAACATCAGCTAAAGATGTGTATGATACACTCATTTTTAAAGGAAGAATGAAAAAGACTAAAGTATCAGTTACAGAAATCAATAAAGAAAATGCTCAGTTGAAAGTGTTAAGGTACATGAAATACAGTTATACCATTCTATAAAATTTGAATCTAACGATATTTTTTATGAATTTAGTGATATTTATGAAACATGAATCCAATGATATTTGAATCTAACAATATGAAATTTGAATCTAACGATATATCAGAATATTTTGAAATTGGTCCAGGAGAAAAAGTTCCTTAAAACAACATAAAATTTTATTGTAGCATTCAAACAGTAATCCGATTCAGCGCAAAACAAAAGTTGGACAAAAATCAAAATCATAAATCGATTTCTCTTAGCCGTAAGTCTGTTAACTTCATATTTTGTCCTGAAGACAACTGTACTTCTACATTTTAAACTGCAGATGAATTGTCTTTTCATATTGCAAGAGGAGAACATACTATTCCAAAATTACTATCAGGAGTGGACAAAGCTAAAAAATGTTTGCTAAAAAAATTGAGACAGTAACAACAACAAAAAAAAAAAACTTCCAAACTACTATTATTTTTTTTTTAAATTGCTGGCACATCTAATAGAAATGAAAACTTCTCAACTGTGGTTTCACAACTGGGATGGGGACTGAAACCAAAAAGAAAAATCACACGTCTGAATCAAAATCAAAAACAGTTTCTACAGCAATGTTTTTATAAAGGAGATAAAACAGGTAATGAAATTTACTGCACAGAATGTTGTCAAGATGATGAGACGTGTTACAGTAGATGGAAAGAAAACGTTTTGCCCAGAAGAATATCTTACGAATGAACAAGTGATTTCTTATTTCAGCAGAACAAAAGGAAAAGGTATAGAATTTGATACTGTGAAAGAAGATGAAAATGAATATGAAGACCATCTTTTAGTAGTTGCAACTGAAGAAAATGAGGTTTGCTATGTTTTTAATTTTATGTATTTCTTTTTATTTAATGTTTTCAACAGTTAAAAATTTCTTAAAAAATATAATATAGCTTTTCAAAAAATTTTGGGACTTTCAGAGAGAATATTACGCAATAGATTAAAATTTTTGAAGAAAAGGACAGTGAACTTCATCCTCATTCATTTTATGCAGTAATGTATGACAGAAGATTTTACAGAGGAAAAATTCTAGAAGACTGGAAATGATTCATTCAAGATAAAATTTCTACGCCAGAGAGAAGCTCAAAAGTTTAAATGACTGATATGTGATAACATTGACACTGTACGTCATAGCGCCATCTTCTTTGGTCTGATACAATTATCCGGTGTGGATCCTTTTACTGTCCCAAGCATAAAAGGCATCCAACTGTTATACAAGGAACTATTAAATAAATAATTTGCATGCATTTTGTAGCTACAAAACAAATGTTTTACAGCATTACCTTTAATGTATTTCTGTTTTATACAAATTGTAAATGTCAATGATTATAAAATATTATTTTAAATGGATAACTAACAATATTATATACAATAAAATGTTAAAAATATCGATTTTTATGGTGAAATGTATATAGAAAGTAAAGTGTTCGAGTAAATTGCTTCGAGGAAGAAAATACCAAAACATGGTATGTTAAAAAAATGTTGCAATTTTTTTAAAGCTGCATGCCTCAATAAATTTTACTTTTTTGGATAGACTAATAATGAAGTAAAATAAAGGTAAAAAAATTATTTCAATATATTTATGCCGCAAAAAGTTATGACCGTTAAAATATAGGTAAAATTTGAAAATGTTCAAGTTTCAACTTCAAATAATTAAAAGCGCATTAAATATGCCTCAATTATATAAATAATTTTTGAAAGTATTTTTGTATATCTTTCAAATGACACGTTATTTGCCATGGCAACTAGAAGGCGCAAGCTATAGTTAGTCGTTGAAAATTGCAAAAAGCAGCAAAAACGCTTCTTTTTACGACCTTCAGGGACCTTGTGGCAACAACTTGCCACAAACTTTTCATCCATTTTACAAAGTTCAACATCCTTACTTTTCAGATATTTAAATTACTTGGAGACACTTTGTTTGCGCTAAGAGCTGTGGGTCATTGCAATTTCCATGTAGTGCAAAAACGCTGAAATTTTCCTGCAATGCTCTGAACTTTGGGGGGCCATAAAAAAGAAAAACTCAACTTTGGGACAAAAAATTTTAGATTTTGTCTTTTGGCAAGGTATATAACAACTGGTAATTTTTTGAAGAAAATCTGAGATGGCATGAATCACCCCATAATGTTAGGTGTGACAGTTTCTCAGATTCTTGCTCATAAAACTTAAACGAAAGTTAATTGCTAATTTTTTTGTCAAAATTAAGCAATATTTTTTTTAATTCTTCTTTTTATCCTTTCATCATTGTTAGTAACAAGTTAAATGACTTGAGCAATTTTTCACCAAGCAAGCAACTTTTTTAAAAATTTGTGTTACAGACGTGTTACGGGCGTATTTTGTGTTAGGGGCGTAGCATATCTATATAAAAGCCGTAACAAATCAAGAACTTGAATTAAAAAATAAATATATTCTGTAAATGACATTCGTTAGATATAAATATATTTGAGCGAGATCAAACGGATATATTTCTAAACTTTCTGTCTTCTCATTACCCCAAAATTCAATTCTATATTATATAGAATTTATTATATTTATAAGGTAAATATTTTCGTTAATAATTTATAAGATACATATTTTTAAACTTTTTACTAAGAAGTTCATAAATATTTTAAAAAGAAATTGAATTTTAAATATTGACAAAATGTTTTGATGTCAGGGGTTCGAAATTAACGTTGGAATGTTGGTTCAAGACCCCTAAAATATGACTCAGTATGACTCTAAAATATGACTAAAATATGACTTTTGACTTCAATTAAAGATAAGAAATTACTATATTATTCGTAAAAATAGTGGTATTTATGGGATATATTATTCCTTGAAACTGTTCTAAATTTAATTTAACATGCACTAAAGCATTTATCGAGAAAAAAAATTTTTTTTGAACATTGTTGCTTAAAAACGGAGCACTTTACTTTCTAGAAAGCAGAACTCAGATATCAGATACAACAGATCAGATATCAGTCAACAGGGGGATTTTAGTGAGAATATTATGCAAGAACAAAACGAATTACAAAGTGCACACTGAACAAATTATTAAATTAACCTGTACACAGCAATTGCATACACTGTACGAAAAATATATTCATAACCAATGATCTTAGATAATTTGCTGTGTGACAATTTATTAATAGATGTGGAATAAAAAACTTCCTGATTTGTCGATATTTTTTCTGATAGGGAAGCATTTGTAACTTGAATAGCTGAGCCAAGCTAAACCTATCACAGATTTAAGGAATTTTTTATTATAATAAAGTTTATTACTGTATTGTAATTTTCTTACGTAACTATTAAAAGATGATCTAAAAAACAAACTTCTTACTTAATTTTTATGAAATCATTTCTTTTATAAAAGAAATGTGCAAAAATTATTTGTTTTGCTCAAAAATTTATTTAAAAAATTCTTTCCTGCTTATCAAATATATTAATAAAATCATTAAGACTACTTATTCTTAATTAAAAATCCTTTTCCTTTTGTAATCTTTTATTTATTTGTGGTTTCCATTTTTCATAAAATAATCCTTAATTTAAAATCGCAGAGTGTTGCGTCTGTAGTAATTTAATTTGCATAACAATTTAATTAATTAATTATTTAAAGTCACAATCTTTAGAAAATGAATGTTTTTGAAGACGTCATAATTTCCTGAATACATATTTTAAAAAAAAATTTTAATTTTGGTACAATTCATGGAAACATGTAAACGAGCTGTGCAATTTTGACATAAGTGTAAGCTACGTCCGTAACAGTCGGTTTTTTTATTTTTAATTAAATTTAAGTGCAAAGCATTCCCTACAAAAACATTTAAAAGTATTTGCTGATTTTTAGTTAATTTCAAAGGCGTTCGACAAATCTACAAATGTTACGTTCGTAACTGCCCTAAAACTTTTTAGTAAGTATATTATCAATGTAGTTATAGTCACACATAAGTTTTTTAAAGTTTAAGTTTCGCGATTAACTAATTGCTTAATTCTGATTCTAGCACTACTTTTATTTTAATGTGACATTTTTTGTCCAAAATACTGCTTTTACATTTTAAATGCAAGCGAAACTATGTTTATAGTACTTAAACTGCATACATACAAACATATTTTAAAATCCTGAAGTCACTTTCAAATGTCTTCCAGGAGAAGCTCTTAGTTTTACGTAATTTATTTAATTATTAATTTTAAATAAATTTCAAAACATACGGAGTAAAGAAAAATAAATGATGAGATTTCTAATCACCATGCAATTTGTCGTTAGTACAGCGTTGGTCCTCTTACTATTTGTTGTACGTCGTTAAGATAATTGATTACGAGTATAATAGGTAGCAGATACGATTAATTATGTTATTTTCAAACAGCAAAACTTAAAAATGCTTCCCTTATTATACCTTTGTAAGTGTTAGTTAAATTTAGTGCTGTTTTGAGACATTTTTATATATATTTTCACCATACATGAATTTATATGAATGAAAAGGAAGCTATTTTAGTTATATGTAAATAAATTATTTTCGTATTGCAAATTTGATCAGAATAATGCATAGAATATTATTTTAGGATATGGAAATGCTACAATCTTACAACCCTTGGGGTAAACCAGGAGCTGGAGCTAAACCGGTAAAAATTTAATATTATTTTTTTAAGTGTATGGTATTTATGTAAGTATTATTTACAATATTTATTTTTAGTTATTCATTTATAATTTTCGATCATAGTTATTACTAGAGTTAGTAGTATGTCTCTAATTCGATCATTTTAAAAATATCTTGGACAAACCACCAAGCGAAGCAGCTTATAGAACAATAAAACGAGATATTATATTTAAATCATCAGTTTCTCTCTTTATTTGATGTCAATTCATTAATGAAAGTTTTATTCAGGATGATCCCAAAAGAAAAGTTTATCCGGAAGGAAGAATACCAGGAGAAGATGAAGATGATACAATGGAAGGGTTCATAAAAAAGTTTGGTCGCCCTGGTAATGGAGCTCCAAATAGAACAGACTCCGGTACAATACGCACGCAAATAACTGGTGACCCTGCAATCAGATTTCAAGATACTCAGCATGTACGACTAAGTATTGAAAACCATCTGAGGTATAAGAAAGAAGACAAAGAAAATTATAGAGGGAACTTGGGTAAGTCGTGCAACTCAAAATATTCTCGTAATCATTCATCATAATAAATTATAAGGTTTTGCGTAATCAGCGATCTTAATATATATTTTTAGAATATATCCTTTTTTATATCTATCATGAAGCATTGATGTTTCAAGAATTGATGTTTCTTTTTATTTTAACGTTTTTGTTGAAAAATATTTGTTGGCTCACAAGCATTATTTTGAAATCAACCAGGAAGCCCTCATAGAAACTGTTTAAGAACTCCCAAACATCCTGGCGCAGTGCTCTTAGTTTACACGTACTGCCATTCAATTTTCTATTAAGTATTTTTCCTAATTTCCTGATTAATTTTTAACTATTTAAATAATGAATCCCTTTCTTTCATTTTAAATTTTGTCATTCACTTTGCAGACGAGTTGATTCAACAAAAGTTACAAATCAAGGAAAAGGAAAAGGAATGGGAAGACAAAAAATTTGAAGAAATGGTAGGTTCAAAATGAATTTATTAATAAAAGATATGCTGTTATTGTTTCTAATGTCACTTGCCAATATCAGCAAGAAAATTAGCACACTTTTTGCCACAACACTTTTTGCCACAACACTTTTTGGCACAACACTTATTTTCTTGAAATTAGATTAATTTGTTTGATTCAATGAATAATTAAATTAAAACAAACTGAAACAATCAATTAAGGCTTGTATAAGTTTTGTGTAATGGCTTGTGTAATATCCATTTAATTTTGAATAACGAGAAAATTCTCTACGATTGGGCAACATCTGAGCATCAAGCTCACCTTTTTTCAAGCAAAGCATATTTTAAATAAAACAAGAAGGAGAGACAGAAGATCTATAACAGGTCTAAACACAGTAATAGGAAGAATAAAAGTTTCAAAGAAAGAAGATTTTTAAAAATAAATATCGGCATTGAAGTCTGCAGTGAATAGAAAAAGTAAATTTTTTGCTTCGCTTTGTCAATTCATAATAACTTTAATCTACTTAAAATGTATTCGCAATGTTTCAAAGAATTAATAAAAATGTTTCTACTGCGAAAGAAGTTCCTGATGAAATTACGGTGAAAGTACTGGCATCTTGAATGCAGCATCTTTTTTTTACAGTAAAATATATTTTTACCCTAAAATTTTATACTTTAATTTTTACAGAAATATTTATTTAATTACAGTGACTTTACAATAAATAATTCTGTAAAAATTAGAGTATATCAGCTTTTCTGTTCCGTAAAACTTTGCGGTAAAAATGGGTCTTACAGTATAAGTTCTGGTACTCTGAATCCTGGTACTTTTTACCGTATTTTGATCCGAAATGTTCTGTGTAGGACTTCTTGAAACGCTTTAGTACAATGTATACACCGAAGAGCCATTACATTATGACCACCCTGCTAATAACATGTAGAACGACCTTTAGCCCTCAAAACTGCTTGCTCCCGCCGTGGCATTGATTCCACAAGGTGCTGATAGGTAGTCTGAGGTATCTGGTACCAAGCGCTCACCAACTGGTCCTGCAATTCTCTCACAATGCGAGGGGGAAGCGTGGCAGCACGAATTTGGTTTTCCAAGTAGGATCACAAATGCTCTATTGGATTAAGATCAGGTGAATTTGGGGCTCAAGACATGACTTGAAAGTCACTGGAATGTTCCTCGAATCAATCCATGACGATTCGACTCTTATGACATGGTGAATTATCCTGTTGATAAACACCATCCCCCACAGGAAAAACTGTTGCCATGAACCTGGTCTGCAATTATGTTCAAGTAGCTTACAGACGTCAGGGATTGTTCTATGAGGATTATGGGCCCCATGAAAACATTGTTCCTGGACGAGAAACCATGAAAACCTGGGAGAGCCCATTGTTATAGATGGTGGAAGGTGGTCATAATGTAATGGCTCTTCGGTGTATGTTACAAAATTAAAAGCTCTGTTGGTGTTTAATATTTTAACATTTAGAGTGTGTTTTCTTTTCGTTGATCTAACAATATTTCTTTGAACGTATTTGTAGAAAGAGCTGTATCCGTTTGGGAAAGAAACTGACAATGGTGGGTCTTATCTATGTCATTCAGGTATTGTAGACTTTCTCGCCTGTGGCAGTCTCCTCTAGTGTGGCTTTTGTCAGCACTTCTTCTTCACCCTTTTACTTAGAAAATAAGTTGGATGCCTGCAACTTGCAAGTTTTGCTATAGTCACTTAGCTGCACACACTATTTTCTTTTTTAAATAATTTCTTTTAAATTTATATAAACCTAAATACACTTGTATTTAATATTTTCTTTGCCAAATAATAAAAATAAACACTATTGATCCGAAACAAATTCCGAAGTTTCTCTAACAGCAAGACTAATCTTCTAAAAATCAGAATAGGTTTTTTTTTAACGTTTATGCTGCTCCCCTGCTGATGCTAGACTTTCTTGGAGTGAACGAGCTCATGGACCTGATCTAGCTTTGCTGGTCATGGGGATGAGAACAACAACACAAAAGATACATTTAATGATATATAGCTGTACATTTTAAAATGATTGATGATATAAGCTGATTCAGTTATTGTCCTTCGTACATATATAATTTGTAATTATTAACCTATCTCAGAAGACAATATTGAGTGTTAAACACTTATTGCCATGCGTCTTAAGGCATAACGTTTTTGTCAAAAGAAAAAAAAGAAGAAAAATCATAACAATAAATATATTTGTTTTATTTCTTTTAACTTTATTACTCATTTTGTTTTTAAGAACGGGAATTTAGATCATCTAACTAAATACTGATATTAAAGTCAAAAAAATACGATTTTGTGGAGAACGCTTCACAAAGACATAGAGTTATAATGCGAAAACTTTAATATTACACAATATAGATATACTTCCTCAATATACACAACTTTTTATGGTTTTACAGATCTTGTTATTATTTTTATAGCTTTATTACCATTTGCATCATAAATTTCAATTGCTTTACTTTGAATAATTTATCACATAACATAGAAAATCAATGCAAACACATTGATCTTTAAACGTAAATCTAACTTTATGAAAATCTGAAAATTTTGGAATAAGGTATCTAAATACAATGGTAAGTAGCTTAATTAAGTTTTCTGCAAATTTTTTGAGCACTTTTTTATTTTGGTATATATTTAGCTACATTCAAAGGTAAATAGCGGGAGTAATATACAGTACTCAAAATGAAAAACGAAACATATATATAATTCTTTATGGAATGATCGGATTTCAACGTACTAGGATGCAATCAAAATGTTTTGAGAGTTTTACCTCAATTAAGCCAATTAATTAGTACAAACCTTGTCTTAGATTATAAAACCAGACGGAAAAACTTACTTTTTCTTAAATGATATAACTTTGCAAGCATAATCAAAATATTTTAACAGGAGAGCGATCAAAAATTTGAACATTTGTGCTAGTTTTCATTTCGCGTTTTTTACCATATTTTTAGAATTAGTATAAAAAATATCGAAAACATTTATAAAATTCGTTCGAAAACTGAGTTTCAAAAATTATTCATTTTAATTTTTATTGTTTAATTTAATAATAAGGAAGAAAAAATTTATAAAACTTGTAGTGTTAAATAAATAAATATCAAAATTTAATTGCGTTGAGTTTCAATGATTTTTCAAAATTGATCTGAGCCTTTCGGTCCACCCAATAATTTTTAGACTTGAAATTAAATTGGTGTTTAGTGCTACTAATAGCATAAGTGTTAATAATTGCATCAATGTTAGTAATAGCATTTATTTTCAATTATTTACTAGCAATATTCAAAACTTGATGAACGTAGATTTTTTAGCATTTGCACCGTTGCACTGAACTTAAAAATTATTATAATTTAGTTGGCTTTATATTTTATTAACTTAATAAATAGATATCATATAATCTATGCATGTTATAAGGATCGTTATAAAATTCCTTCGAAAACATTGAAGCACTCGATGTATTACCGTTTATTAGCCTCTTAAAAAATTTTATGAATTTTAATTTTTTATATAAAAGTTTCTGCATTAAAAACAATTGGTTTATATTTATTACATGTCCGTTACTTCAAATATTTTACAGATCCAATGTTTATGTCAACAAGGCCTAGAAGAAATGTGGCGAACAGTGATGTAAGTGATGTACTATTTCATTTAGCTTAACATTAAATCACTTTTTAGATTTTTTATTTTTGGTATTTCGTTGTCTCTTTGCTGCTTGGAGGAAAAGATATTTAGTTTCATTGGTTTCCTTTGAGTCTATTAATATACAAAATCAAAGTGGCTTTATTTGAATTTGTTACACCCTATTTATCTTCTTGATTATAACTGAAAACTGGAAATGAAACTTATATATAAGCTTTAAGTGTCATATAAACAGCAAATTTAAAAACAATTATTGAAAAGAGATATTTAAAAACGATACATTGAAATAAAACATGCATGATGGTACTTAGCGGCTTTTTTAAAATTCATCGTTGGACCTACCATCCTTGTTTACTATAAGGAATGCAACCATATGTTTATTTCAAAAATGTCTTCGTTAATTGAAAAGAAGGTTTAATTTTACTGCTTAAAATACACTGGACAAAATTAAGAGATGGAAGACATTTTCCCAAATATCTCAAAAAATACTGAATATAAATAAATGAAATTTGGTATGGATATAGCTTATTCCATGATAATAAAGTATACAAAACAANCATTAAAATGAAACATACATGATGGTACTTAGCGGCTTTTTTAAAATTCATCGTTGGGCCTACCATCCTTGTTTACTATAAGGAATGTAACCATATATTTATTTCAAAAATGTCTTTGTTAATTGAAAAGAAGGTTTAATTTTACTGCTTAAAATACACTGGTGGACAAAATTAAGAGTTGGAAGACATTTTCCCAAATATGTCAAAAAATACTGAATAAAAATAAATAAAATTTGGTATGGATATAGCTTATTCCATGATAATAAAGTATGCAAAACAAAAATGAAAGTGCAATTCACTAACAAGACCTATTGCCAATAAATCCAATGTAGTCTGAACTTAAGGATAAAAGATGACAATAAAATTGAGGCTTGTACAGTGTGTGTTGCCTCTAGTATGGTGTATGGTCATCTAATCCTACCCCTGACAGACAGACAGCATGCACAACGAGTATGCATGCTGTTAATAAGGGAGTTAAGGAGGACTTGTGGAAGACCCTCCCATTATTCTACCAGATCAATTTTTAACTCCAGAATGGTTCTGGGGGGGGTTGGCGCATCGTAATAGCTCTCCCAAGAGCATCCCAAGCATGTTCAATAGGATTCAGGTCAGGGGATTTGACTGGCCAATCCATTCGTTGAATATCCTCGCTTTCCAGATACTCATCAACTATGAGAGCCTTATGTGGTAGCGCATTGTCGTCCATAAAAATGAACTCAAGGCCAACAGCGCCACTGAAAAGACGCACATAGGACTCTAGGACCTCCTGCCTGTACCTTTGGGCATTCACGGAACCATTGTCAAGTACATGGAGCGGTGTGCGGGTATCTTGCATGTGCGAATGAATGTGCGAAAATGCTTTCCATCTCTTAATTTTGTCCACCAGTGTACATTATACCTTTTAATCATCCTGTAGCTCTTCTAAAATATGGCGGATTAATTTCCATCATTTAAACGCATACTCATAACGTTCAAGACTGTAAAAGTTACTCCTTTTGAAGCTGGTTGCCAATTTAAGAACTTAACGTTCTCGTTAACTAACAAAAACTCTAATCCGAGATTTTTATTCAAAAACTGAATAAACATTCATTTCCTATCAGATATTGTCCTCAGATAATATCAGTTTTAATATCAGATAATATCAGAATTTTTAATTCCTGTTGGAGATACGTTGTAATAGTATTAGTTTGTGTATTGAAATGGAATATTATTGTAGTTTGAATTGTACACTTTTTTCATCATTAAGTCGATTTATAGCTCGATTTTTCCACAGGATTTTGATCCATGGGGTAAAGGATTTGGTAATCCTGCATGGGACAAACAGGGTAACGTTCAGAGGCATAAATTTGTCCCTTCTGCTGAAGAAGGAATTCCAGATCACGATGTTGGTTTGGTAAGTGGCTTTAAACTCATCATTTATATTTATTTGTTAAAATGATTCTCAACTACTGATTAAAATACTAATAAAGCATTTTGAAATTGAAGAGGACACAAAACTTAAAAAATCTTCAAATTTCCGAAAAAAATATTTTGATCTCAAAAGTAAAGATTTTCATGTTAGTCATTTGGTATTGACGGGTCCGTTGTGCGGCTCGGAATTTTGGAACCCGTTCCAAATTTCTTCAGCTTTCGAGAAGCTCATCGTTTAATGTTAACAGTTTTTAATTGCTTAACAGTTGAGTTTTAGATTGATACAAATCATAATTTTCACATGACATTATTATTTTTATTTAATAATAATTCCATGAACTATAATACTTAAGGACGATCCACTCTGACGTTATAACGACGTGTTTATTGAAGCTTCTCTTGGCCCAATTGCCTACAGCACCCTCTAGCAGCATTTAACGGAAACAGTTAGTTGAATAAATAGATGTGACTAGTTGACACTATACGGTACATCATGTAGTGTGAGCCGTGATGGCTCAAGGGATAGAGCGTTCGTCTTTCAATGAGGTGAACCAGGTTCGATCCCGGCGATGGCTGGTCTATACGAATTTCGCATCCGGCTTGCACCGAACACAATGCTGACGTGAAATATCCTCAGTGGTACGGCAAGGGGACTCAAAAAATATTTTTGAGTCCCCTTGCCGTCAGAATAACCGTGGGATGTTATCGTGGTTTTCCTCTCCATATAACGCAAATGCGGATTAGTTCCATCAGAAAGTCTTCCATGAAGGCAAATTTTCCCCAATACTTGATCCAGGAGTTCCCTTGTTTTCTAAATTGGATTCAAAATTACAAGGCTACGGAGTTGAATATTAGTAGTCGTAAATCCAAAAATTGGGTCGGTTGTTGAAAATTTTGTTTTCAAAACATTCGAATTCTACACAAAATCTTTTATTTATAACAAAAAGAGAACGATGGAATATTTCCACTCTTCTCTTTAGATGAAAACCGATTAAACTTTTCAGTCTGTTTTCGAACGGTATCGTCAGCACAGTTTGGAGCTGGCAGCAAGAACACCATACAGGAGTTTCTCTTGAAGATATTATGTAATAGCAATTTTGCGTTAGTTACACCAAAATTTAATTTTTTATGTTTATAAAAGATTAATTTCTATTGCTCCTTGCGTCTCAATTTTTTATTTGTTGAAAATATACAAAACTCTCTGTAATTGTTTGAGTGCATCAAAAAGCATCATTTTGAGAGGGGAATAGCTCAAAAGTAGAGTTTTTCTTTTTTTCATGCTCTGATAAAATTAAACAAAAATTGATGCTTATATCTTCTTATGCGTACATACACTTTTTCTCCATGACATTAAAAATCCGTTAGATAATTTTGGCATTTTCTTCACTGTTATACTTTTTTATACAATATTATGGAATTGATCAACTGCTTTAAATTGTCACCTATTTCAAAACTAATTTATAAAATTTACTAAAAAATTCAAATAAGTTAAAATAAAAACGTTTTTAAGTGACTTGACCTTAAAAATGAAAATTGTTTCGAAAAACAAATATAACATAAACAATAAGTCGTCTTGTGACAAGACGTCTTGTTGTTTAGATTTGCGTTTGTCACAATAAATATATAGCAGTTGAATGCGTTTTTTTTTTAAATTTCATTCTTGCAGGAAATGCCATGGGGGATGAGAAAAAATCGAGGTGGGGATGGTGCACCACATATGACAGAGAGCGGACGCCCGAAAGCACGTTTACGCAATACTCTCAAGAATATAAAGTCATTAGGTAAATATTCTTATTTCTCTTAAAAAATGGAGAAAAAAACACGAAAACTATCATTTAACTTGTTTAATTATTAATTATTTTAGGACCCCATATAGATGACACTCCAGATGCTTATAATCCATGGGGAAAGCCTGGAGCAGGAGCACCATTTGTGCGGGAAGACGAAAAGCCTTTCGAAGAAAAATTAGTAAGATAATCTTGCATGTCTTGTAAGTCTTTAGTTTCAAAATAACAAATAAATAAAGTCTACACTAAGAGATAACTTGGTACTTTATTTATGTCGCACAAGAGCTGCGCAATAGGATATTGGCGACGGGTTGGGAAACATTTTTGAGGATGATTCGAAGACATGCCATCGCAATTTTGATCCTCTGCAGAGGGGATGGCTCCCCTGCTTTGGTAGCCCGACGACCTGCACTCAAAGTTGAACACTTTACTGTAGAACAGTTTAACGAGGACCGATACCGCACATCCTCTTACCCTTCGCAGACTGATCCAAGCGGTCACCCACCAGCACACTGACCGCAGCCAGTGATGCTTGACTTCGGTGATCTGCTGGGAATTGAGTCTTAACGATCCGTCCACAGTGGGACCACTAAGAGATAAGAATACACTAAAGCATGTCAGTGCACGCCTACCTACTCTATTATGTTTTGACAACTCTATTACTTTAATATGTTTTTAAAAATTAAGGTACCACCTAGTTACTGAGTCTAATTTGAAAAGAAATTAACTTAGTGACAAAAGAAAGGGGGAAATGTACATTAAAGAAGTTTTCATCGAATGTAACGTAAATATTTTCATAAGTTTAAACTCAAGCATAACTTTCAACAAAAAATAAAAGCATACTTGACAGAAAATTTCTCTTTTCAAAGAAAACTCTATATCACAGATTTATATGCAAAATTACCCTAGAAAACATTATAAAAATGGGTTCTACTAAGGAATGTGTCCAGTTCTAACTGCAATGCATTGGTGGCATAAACTATCTATGTTGCCAATTAAATTGTCAAACATCGAAATAGGAAACGAAAAACAGACATAAAGTAGCTATTGTTTCAGCTTCTGAAATGACAGCTGATGAACTGAAAGAAGCAACTGATCAGCCAAGGTAGCCCCGTGCATTTTCTACTGGGTTCAAATCTTTAGATTTGAATGGCCGACGTCCTTTTCAGCGTTGCCTCAAATAATAACTGCCCAACCCGGTTGCCAAATATGAATACTGCGTAACCTTTACACAGGAATACAATTGCACAAAAAAAAAGAAATGATATAACTTTATTTCTGAAGTGCCATAACAAACTGACCGATAAATTGAATAAAAACTCAAAAAACAGGATTCAAGCACTTTTTTTAAAATACTCATAAATTTTTAACGTATTTGTGTCAGTCGTTTGAAATCAGATGTAACCGTATTTTTTTTTCTAATTATTTGTCTTATTTTCTATTTCCCTAGGGATGGTCAATGACTGGACACCCGAAAAAACGAAGTAAAGAAGCAAAACAAGAATATAAAGAATTTTTAGGTAACTATTACGTTTAGCAGGCTAATTTCGTTCAAACAAAGCAATATTCCGTTTTATTCTATTAGCTTAATTTTCATTAAAGACGTGGACATTCTATTAGGCTCATATCCGTCAGACGAATCGAAATGTAACAGATTGCTTTCAGTTTAAATTATCTTATAGATAAAAAAATGACTATTCTTAAAATAATTATAAAATTACATTTTGAGCCCCTCATTTCAAAAAAGGACACTTTTCAAAAAAAGTCATTATGAAATTAAACTGTGATTATGTAAAAATTACGAATACATTTTAAAACTCTGAGTGAATATAATATTTATTCTACAACAGCTCCTTGGTTTGCTTTATTTTTTTTATTTAGTTTTATTATATTATTTAGTTTTATTTTATTATTTAATTACATCTTCTGGTAGAAGTAAGCAGAAATAAACCTCTGGTAAGCAACACCTCCACAAAATAAGCTTTTATACTTCCTAAATATAATAACAGTTAATAGCCCTTACCCTCTTTGTATTATTACTTTGACGTCTATCTGTTCATCACCTAAACAGTTTCAAATTATTTATCTTCACTTTTTCTAGGCTTAAAGTTCTTCTAATAAAATTTAGTTTGATAATTTTTGTCTGAAGTCCTCATTATATATACACTGGTTATCATAAATTAAGGAAAAATCACAAAAATAGCGATAACTCTTTCAAAAGTAAGCCAAACCGTGCAAAATTTGCATATGTTGTCCACTAAGAGTAGCTGAGTAAAATTGCAATATGCAAATTAGTGGCGCTGCACTCGGCTTACGTCATCTGCCTGGAGCATAAAAGTCCAAGTTTGAGAGANCGTGGACATTATATATTAACCTCATATTCATCAGACGAATCGAAATGTAACAGATTACTTTTAGTTTAAATTATCTTATTGATAAAAGGATGACTATTCTTAAAATAATTATAAAATTACATTTTGGGCCCCTCATTTCAGAAAAGGGTTCTTTTCAAAAAAAGTAATTATGAAATTAAACTGTGATTATGTAAAAATTACGAATACATTTTAAAACTCTGAGTGAATATAATATTTATTCTACAACAGCTCTTTGGTTTGCTTTATTTTTTTTATTTAGTTTTATTATATTATTTAGTTTTATTTATTATTTAGTTACATCTTCTGGTAGAAGTAAGCAGAAATAAACCTCTGGTAAGCAACATCCCCACAAAATAAGTACTTCCTAAATATAATAACAGTTAATAGCCCTTACCCTCTTTGTATTATTACTTAGACGTCTCTCTGTTCATCACCTAAACAGTTTCAAATTATTTATCTTCACTCTTTCTAAGCTTAAGGTTCTAATAAAATTTAGTTTGATTATTTTTGTCTAAAGTCCTCATTATGCATAGTATACCGAACCTTTGCCGATTGAAAACCCTATTTCATCATTATTGCAACAATCTTTACAATTTATTTCACATTTTTTCAGTGAAATGAAAGGATGGAAGTTTTTTCGCAAAACGAAGGAGGTTTTTTGTGAAAAAATAACATACATATATTCTCATCTTGTCGGAATCACTTAACAATGTAGTTTTTTTAATTATTTAAAAAAAAATTAGGTTATTTGCTGCTTTAAATTAAGTTACAAAGTTAAGTTACAGCTCTAAATTAATTTCTTTAAAATTGCTTCATGAATTCAAAACAAGTGGATCAATCATTTAAGTGATAGATCTTGCTATAAATCCTAATGAGCATAACATGCAACTGAGTTATATAGCTCCAATGATAATACTGAAGATTGAACACATAAATTTATTTGACTTTTAAAATAAGTCAGTTTTAAAAAATGGAATAGCCAACTCATTCAATGTCAACATTTGGTTTGCTATTCTTTTATGTGAGCTTTTTTTCGACTCTCTGCCGTTTTTGAATTACCATCGTTATAGCTCTCGATCGGTTTGCCAGTTAAAAACACTAGCGGCGAGAGTACCAAATTCAGGTATAACTAAAATTAAAATGTAATCAGTTACTCCTAATAACTACAGATTTATACCGACAACTTTCATCTGTACATTGATTCAAGGATTTAGTTATACTATACCATATTTTTATTTTTAGAACAAGGAATGGAGGAGAAGAAACGGAAAGATCAACAAGAACGATTAGAAATTCAAGAACCGGTAAGTTATAACATTTAATGAAATCTTTATTAACTAAAAAGAAAATATTTTCCTTAATTTAAATGAATATGAAATTCTACCTTATTCATTTTTTAACGCAGTTTATTACTGGTTGTCGGAGTAACTGTGTGTACCATTTGTTTCAGTATCAAACGTATACGATATTTTAACATAGCGTACCGATATCAATCTTAACTATACTAATGTTGATTTTAGAGTAGACTAAGTAATTTGCATTGTTTAGAAATAACTTGTTCAAAAATTAAATAATATAAGCAATTAGTAAAATATAGGCAATGATACATGTACCATTAAACATTAAATAAAGTTTTTAATGATGATTTTGAACATTAATCTGCTTTAAAATAATCAACTTTGAACAAATCTTACACAAGAAAACTTCAACTTTACTATTTGATCATGCTACAAAAAATAATAAAGTATTATATAATTTTAAAAAATATTTTCCTTTGCCATCAAGCTTATTTAATTTTTCCAATTCTTATGACTCAGTTAAAATTTTAAATAATTTTCAGTTCAAATCAACGCCAATTAAAATCAACTTATTTGACCACAGCAGCGAGAAGATTTAAATTAACTTCATACTCGCCAACTAAAATGTTTATTCAATACTGACATTATACGAGGGTTGCTATTTATATTTCTAGCCTTGACAACAGTAAGTGTTGCTAGGCGACCGCAGACGATTTTAATCGAAAGTTTGATATTTTTAAACATAAATTCAGCAGACGATTTACCATTATAGTTTCATTTGTGTTGTTGACAGTAAATTGAAAAGTTCTTCTCTTTCAAAAAATGGAATTGAATCGTGAACATTTTCGTGCCATTATTTTTCATAACTTTCGACGTGGATTGTCAAGACAAGAGTGCTTCGATGAACTTAATTCTTTATTCAGCGATAAAGCGCCATCCTACAGCACTGTAAAAAATTGGTATAACGAATTTAATCGTGGTCGATGTTCGATCCAGGACGAATCCCGTGCAGGTCGTCCAAAATCCGTTGTTGTGCCAGAAAAGATCGATGCTGTGCGTGAACTGATAAAGCAAGATCGTCATGTGACATACCGTGAGATAGAGGCGTCTTTGGACATTAGTATGACTAGCATCAATAAAATATTGCATGAACATTTGAGCGTAAAAAAAATTTGTTCGCGTTGGATCCCGCATAATCTGACAAACGCTCAAAAAAAGGCTCGTGTCGATTGGTGCAAGGAAATGTTGGAAAAATACGTTCAAGGTACATCAAAGGCTGTGTATAACATCTACACAGGTGACGAATCATGGATCTATGCATATGAGCCGGAAACAAAACAGCAATCAACTGTATGGGTCTTCCAAGACGAGGCAAAACCAACAAAAGTTGTTCGAGGAAGAAGCACATCGAAACAAATGATTGCCTGTTTCTTCGGCATTAACGGTCATGTGGCAACAGTGGCGTTAGAGCAACGCAGGACGGTCAATTCTGAATGGTACACGACCATTTGTTTGCCAGAAGTCATCGGAGAAATTCGAAAAAAGCAGAAGAACAGGCGAATCATTCTTCATCATGACAATGCGAGCTCTCACACATCGACTCAAACAAAGGCATTTCTGACGGAGCGAAAGATCGAACTGATGGGTCATCCGCCGTACAGCCCTGATTTGGCACCCAATGACTTCTTCTTATTCCCACACATCAAAAATAAATTACGTGGACAACGATTTTCGACCCCCGAAGAAGCGGTTGATGCATTCAAAACGCATGTTTTGGAGTTACCTCAATCGGACTGGAAAAAGTGCTTTGAAAATTGGTTCAAACGCATGCAAAAGTGTATTGATCATCATGGAGAATATTTTGAAAAACAATAAAACCAATTTCGATCCTACATGTTTGTTTTTTCATTATTAGGCCGGAAATATAAATAGCAACCCTCGTATAATATCAACATATACATATCCTCAGATACCTAAGTCTTATATATCGTTCAAAAACTTCACTGAGCAATATGTTTCTGTATAAAGTATTGAAGTAATAATTCTGTACACGTTCTTTTGAATTATTTTTTCATCGATTAACGATATATCTATTACATAATCTCTATTTATTTATTAGGCATAAATACAAATCTTAAGGGAAACATATTGTTGCAAATTAATAAATAGAATGACTAGTTTGAATGCTAGTTGTTGTAAAATGTTTTGCAACTAACATAAAAATTCTTATTTTTCTTCAAGTTTCCATCACATTAACTAAATTCCATGAGTTAATATTTTGGAAAGAAAAAGAAACTTTTCTATCTGATGCTGTAAATAATTTAGTAGAATTTACTGTAATCAGAGAAACATACATTAATTCTTAAATTCTCTCCTGGGGTGCACTTATCTGATGGCTTTTCGATTGACAGCATTAACACAATTATCAATCAGAGGTTCTTTATTTAAGGTTCATTATTTTAGATTGTTCGAATTCGACAACCTCAGGGGATGAACAAAGGAACATCGGTAATTTTCTATCATTTTTTTGATGCAGTCTTTTGCTTATCTTCTCTCTTTTTCTCTCTCCCGCTTTCTCTTTACTTCCTTTTCTTACTTAAACTTTGATAAAAAAAAAAAAAAGAAACGTTTTATGTAACTAGCAACTTGGAAGCCATTACATTGTATCTAGTGTCTAAACCAAATGAATGTGTCCTTTTAAAGACAGTCACACAGGGATCAAGCAGCCCAACAGCAAATAATTATTGCACTATTTATTTTCAGCTACAATCAACAATTTTCTCCACTTGCATAAAATCAGACAAAAAAAAAATTTAAATAACCGCTCCAAACACCGTTATAGATAACACTGACAGCATCCTAGGTTACTTTCGCCAGCAGCAGTAGTAGTCGTTATAAAGGAAGAGAAACTCCATTTTTCCTTTCTTCCCATTGGTTATCAATCATTTTTAAAATGATAATTATAAAAGCAATAGACCCACACTCGCTAGACACATGTTCGAAAGTTCGTGAGTTCGATCCCCGCCGGCCGAAGACTCCCCCGTGAAGTTAAGTGACTGATGCACGTTAAATCTGTCGAGTCGCAAAAGTCCTCCATGTTCCCATAACAAATCAAAACCTCCGAGGGTACTAGATTGGAGATCGATCGTTCTCTGAGTCAGGTCAAAATTACGATCTGTGGATGAATGAATGGATGTATGAATGGGTCCGCCCTATAAACGGGTGTGATGTATAGTGTGGCAGAAGTCGAATTCTTGGCCATAGATGGCGCCACTGGAAAACAAGAACAATCGCTCCCCCTTTGCCTAAACAGGCATACGTTAACAATAGAACCACACAATTCAATTGAATATATTTCTGCTTGAAATTATTTGAGTAAATCAATTTAATATGTCTGTAGAAACCTTGAAAAAATGGGATTGTAACATAATTTAAATCCTTCAGGACTGTGATATGTGCTCGAGCGATTGTCCCTTCACAGCCTAAAATATCATATATAAAACAACCCTTCCTGACTCTACCGGACCAAAATCACATAAACGTGATTACAATACGGTTCTCGTATTACATCTAATGTTAATTAATATACGTATTTTTTAGTACGTATACTTCCGAAGAGCGCGGACCTGGTTAAGAACTTCTGTCTCATTCTGCCGATCCTGAGAGGGTTAAATTCGCATTTTCTTCTTCCATTCATTACAGAAATATTAACATACAACATGATTCAAACTCAAAACTAATTCAAGACCTCTGTCAGTCCTCTGTGTTTCACCTGCATAGTTCTTTTTTGTTCGTTAACAAGGAAATGGCACATGGAAGATTGGTGCATAAGCAGAAAATTGGACAAATGGGGGCAAGCGTCATAGTCAAGAGTTGGTGTATTTAAACATCTGATCTACATTTAGATGCAGCAATTCAATAGTGGCTAATAAAAAAATTAAAATAGACTTTACCTCCACCACAACTTAAACCATCTTTCTACAAATCTCGTGTTATAATTTGAGACTGCTTTACTCTAAATTTAACTTCATTCCGAACGGAAATGTTACTCAATTTCAAATATCTCGAGTCGTCATATGAAATATATAAAATGTTGCACTTATTGTTAAAATTCTTCTCTTCTATTTATCTTTCGCTATGTTTGTCTCTTTAATAACAGCACGTGTGACGTGTGTTTGCACCATTTTTCCCTTCCTATTTATTATCAAGAAGCATGATTGTATAAATTTAAAAGAAAAAAAATGGAACGTTATGTTTTAAGTAATGTTTTAGATTTGCTTCTCTAATTATTTAATGTTTTCAAATGCTAAAAAGGCGAAATTAAGGTATAAAGTTTCCAGGGTTAATCACTATAATGTTCAAATATTTGCGTTCGATTGCTAAAGAAAGTATTTCAAATGCTTTTGATCCATTAATGCAGTGTTTTCCAAACCTATGACTTTCGTGTACCCTTTCTAAATTTTTCTCAACGATGTGTATACCACTAATAAAAAAATTAATATATTTTTTTTTCTATAGAAGATTGCACAAAAGTTAAAAATCACAACTGGCTGTTGACAACGCTAATTATTAACTGTTAACTCTGCAAAAAATAGCCAATAGAAAAATACGTAATTGTAAATTTTCCTGGGTAACTTTGTTATTAAATAAACACTTTCGAAATTTTCGTTTGTTGCAAAATATTTCGCATAAGAATGCGTACCCCCGCTAAACTGTTCCCGTACCCCTGGGGGTACGCGTACCACACTTTGGGAAACACTGCATTAATGGAAAGTAACCCTTTTTACCTTAAAAATTTATTTAGTTAGTTCATTTTGATAGTAAAATTATGATCAAAATGAATTAAATAAGTTAATTTTTACTAAATAAGTATTGGATACAAACTTAATAATGGAAAATAAAAATAGAAAATTTAAATGAAATAAAAATTAAGGGTTTATTTAAAGATATAGTTTTTTTTCATTTACAAAATAATGCTAAACTTCCATTCTGCTGTCATTTTTGTTTCGATAAAAATAAAATACGAACTCATGATAAAAATAATTCTTTGCATTTATGACTTTGAAATTAAAAAATATTCTTGTTAAGAAATGACTTGCTTTTTTTAAAGGGTATTGAACTAGCTAGCATAATTCGTCGAGGCGTTGGAGGCCGCCCTAACAAAGACCCAATAACCGGTGAACTCCTACGTAGTCCAAGAAAATTAACAGATGTTACTCAAGAGGTATATACAATGCAACAAACTTGCTTTTGTTTAATTGATTGATCTATATTAATTTTTTTAACAAAAAAAAAACTGAGTTTTATTTCACGATACTACATAATTTCAGACAGATCTTTTAAAATTATCCATTTGATTCTATGAATTGCCTTATTTCGGTTAGCACGGGCTATACGACTTCAAGGTATATCAATAATCTTTCCTTTTTTATTGTGAATTTCTAAACAGACGCCCATTACCAAAACCAACCTGTGAATTATACAAACCAATTGCAACACAAGACTTATTCAAGCGTTATTACTAAATTGATACAAGACCAATAAATATACCCAGACTTCTCAATCACGTGTTGAATGGCTCTGATACAAGGTATCTGTTTTGAGCACTCGGAATATCGATTTTTATCACCTTAATTTATATATTTAGTGAAATTTTTCTATTGACAGGAGCATATTTCCGCGTCAGTTTCTTGGAATTGTTTATTTCATCAATATAAATGATTGCAGCTTTCTCAAAATTTAAAATTGTAATAGTTATATTAATAGTTTCAAAATTATATTATTGCCTCCAAATACGTCATCTTTACCACCAGTTGTAATGTTTAAATCTCACTCTTCTATTGTCCCATTCTAACCACAATGATTACATAAAACACAAAAATATCCAATGGTCAACGGATCATAGTCCGATTGCCATCGTATTTTCCATGTGAGATTCTCGTCGCTTTTGTACGTAAATTCACATTTCGCTCTATGAAAAGCAAATACGGATTAGCTTCACTCAAAAAAACTCTCCATATAACTAATTGACTCTAGAGTTTCTTTGTTCTCTGAAACGGCTTCAAAATTAAAAAAATTATGAAAGGGAACGTTATTTCCCCAGCACTGGACGACAGGCAGAATACAACCAAAGAAATTCGATAAAAAATGAGTTTTCTCTTTGTGAAAATCTTAAGGTTCTATATGGTGGTTAGATACGTTTTCTGTTCCTGTTAACCTTACAAAATAATGCTATTAATATCCACAATGCTCGATGGTTTCTGGAGATTTTATGAAGTAGAACAAACCATAAAATAAGTTTAGGATTTAATTTTATATATTGAAATGCAAAGTTATCTAAACAAAAACAAAGAAAGCAAAAAATGAATAGAAAATTTCTTCTCCGCGGAAATAAGTTTATTTCAATTATTGAATGAAATATTATCCTCCCTGCTTAACTCCAAATTAAATGAGTAAGGAAAGGAGCTCGTAAATCGTAACTTTCACCAGAAATTAATAATAATGCTAAGAATGATAATAACAAATCATTTTTTGAAAGATTAATTAGGATAAAATATTTGGTTTAATAATTAATTGCATTTAATGATTCAATTTCGTTATAATTAACTTGATACTGATTTATTAATCATAATTATGTGCATAAAACCTAATTTTGTTCAAAGCGTCTCGATATAAGAAGAGCAAAATCTCAAGAAAGTCTTTTATACTTCAACGAACTTTCCCAACAAGCTGCCCAAAGACAACAAATGAGGCAACAACAGAAACAAATGGAGAGAGCACAATCTGAAAAAGTAACGAGTGATCATGCTTTTTTATCATCTTTTCTTTAAAGCTTTATATCATTGCTAGTATTTTCTGATCTAAGAAACCGTACAATTTACAGTAATTTACTTTTTCATTTACATTGTACTATTTACGATTAATTGTTAATGTATTCATCTTCTATTGAATTTTTATATGCATTCTTTTTAAATAGGATTTAAACAGTGGGAGGAAGTAGCACGCTGCAAAAAAAGTAGCGAAACTACTGCAGTAACTACTTTTTTCGTAGTTTGTAGCTACTTTTTAAAAACAATAGTAAAGAGAAAAGTGAGATTAAAAAAACAGTAGTTTGTAACGCTTTCTGACAGCTACTTTTAACGTGACCGGATAGCCTGGTCGGTAGGGCGCTGGGCCCATGTCCGCGCTGGGCCCAACCCCGCCAACCGACGATTTCCCGTGTAGTTGGTGACTGATGCACGTTAAAATTCTGTCGAGTCGGAAAGTCCTCCATGTTCCCATACCAAATCAACACCTCTGGGGGTACTGGATTGGAGATCGATCGTTCTCTGATTCTGGTCAAAATTACGATCTGTGAATGAATGATTGGAAGTATGAATGGGTCCGCCCTATAAACAGGTGTGACGTATGATGTGGCAGAAGTCGAAATCTTGGCCATAGATGGCTCCACTGAAAAAAAAGAATCGCACACTCTGCCTTAAATTTGCTCTGTTTCATCAAGCAAGCTTGCCCGCGTGGCATTAGAACCAACCAACTTTTACCGTGAACAAACAAGGTTTAAACTCAATTATTTTTTCAAATTTAATTGGTACATTCTTCGCGAGTCTGTCAATGGGTTCTATGAGAATGCCCCTGTACTGTAGATGAGGAATTAATAATAATAGCCTTAATAAGAACTACGTATTACTAGTATTTAAACTATGCATTACGAATAATTTTTCACTTTTTGCCAGAACTTCAAATGCGAATGTACAGTGCGGAAAAAAAGAAGCGAACGTTAAGGGTCCGAACTTCGGAGCGCTCTCCCGACCAAACTATTGGGACAATATTTCCCAGATGGCGGTTACTCCCTATATTTTGGGAATCAGAAATCCGAATCCGTCGGGAAAAAAAAAGTATGTTTATTCAGAGAAAGTACGCTTTTGTGTCTGATTTCATAACTTAAAATACCGTCTGCACTAATTAATTAGCATATTAAAGGCCACCCCTCAAACCATTAAGATTGAGACCTAAAACGTGAAGATTCGCTCAGAAGTTATTCAGAGTGGTTCATTTTTTCTTTTCTTGAGGCACGGTATACTCTTGAAACATTGATGCTGTTGTTGTAGTTCATTTACGTCGCACTAGAGCTGCACAATGGGTTATTGGCGACGGTCTGGGAAACATCCCTGAGGATGATCCGAAGACANTACATTGTACTATTTACGATTAATTGTTAGTGTATTCATCTTCTATTGAATTTTTATATGCATTCTTTTTAAATAGGATTTAAACAATGGGAGGAAGTAGCACGCTGCAGATAAAGTAGCGAAACTACTGCAGTAACTACTTTTTTCGTAGTTTGTAGCTACTTTTTAAAAACAATAGTAAAGAGAAAAGTGAGATTAAAAAAAACAGTAGTTTGTAACGCTTTCTGACAACTACTTTTAACGTGGCCGGATAACCTGGTCGGTAGGGTGGTGGGCCCATGTCCAAGAGTTCGTGGGCTCGAACCCCGCCGACCGTCGATTTCCCGTGTAGTTGGTGACTGATGGTGTTGGTGTTGTTAATTTACGTCGCACTAGAGCTGCACAATGGGTGACTGATGCACGTTAAAATTCTGTCGAGTCGGAAAGTCCTCCATGTTCCCATACCAAATCAATACCTCTGGGGGTGCTGGATTGGAGATCGATCTTTCTGTGATTCAGGTCAAAATTACGATCTGTGAATGAATGATTGGAAGTATGAATGGGTCCGCCCTATAAACAGGTGGGACGTATGATGTGGCAGAAGTCGAAATCTTGGCCATAGATGGCGCCATTGAAAAACAAGAATCGCACACTCTGCCTTAAATTTGCTCTGTTTCACCAAGCAGGCTTGCCGGCGTGGCAAGTGGCATTAGAACCAACCAACCTTTAATGTGAAGAAACAAGCTTAAACTCAATTATTTTTTCAAATTTAATTGGTACATTCTTCGCGAGTCTGTCAAATGGATGCAATGAGAATGCCCTGTAGATGAGGATTAATAGCCTTAATAAGAACTACGTATTACTAGTATTTAAACAATCCATTAAGAATAACTTTTCACTTTTGCCAGAACTTCAAATGCGAACAGCGGGGGAAATACGGGGGGGGGGAAACGAACGTTAAGGGTCCGAACTTTGGAGCGCTCCCCTGACCAAACTATTGGGACAATATTTCCCAGAAATCCGAATCCGTCAGGAAAAAAAGTATGTTTATTCAGAGAAAGAACGCTTGTGTGTCTGATTTCATAACTTAAAATATCGTTTGCACTAATTAATTAGCATATTAGAGGCCACCCCTCAAACTATTAAGATTGAGTCCTAAAACGTGAAGATTCGCTCATAAGTTATTCAGAGTGGTCCGTTTTTTTCTTTTCTTGCCACGGTATACTCTTGAAACATTAATGTTATTTAAATGGAAGAGAAAATATATTCTCCGTAATTTTTTATATAACTTTATATATTAGATTACATAAAAAAGCATTAAACATTTAACAAAATAGCAAGTATTTTATAACTTCTTAGCATTTCTTAAATGAAATCGAATTCGTTGCCGAAAAAGGCATAAAAGGGTGAAGGTGAAAAGAATAAAGTCATAAAAAAATGGTTCAGAAAAACAAACTGTCTCCTGCAAACATGAATAAATATTTCTTAATAATTCCTCATGTTTAATAGATTAAGCTCATGTGCAAAGTCTGTCTCCTAAAAGTAGTGAAATATATAGATAGAGACTACATTTCGAAAGTAGTTTATAGTCACTACATTCTAAAAAAGTAGTCGTTGCTGTAGTTAATTACATTTGTAATAAAGAAGTTGCAATTAATCACAAAAAAATTTAGTTTTTCCAACCGCTGAATTTAACCATCTTAAATATACTTTTGAAATATTATTTATCTTATCAGGCATAAATTCTAACACATCTTACATTGATTTACAGCATGTTAGTACATGGGATTCGTTTTGGGGAAGACCTGGTCATGGAGCTCCAAGAAATCCCGAAAATCACAAAAAAGAAAATATCGACAACCTATTGAACAAAGCGAAAGAGGTAATTGTTTGTATAAAGCTAAAGCAAATTCTTTAACAATTACATAAAATGTAACGCTATTTTTTTATTGTCATTATTCATTAAAAAAGAATTTAAACACTGAAACAGATTTTAAATTTTAAAAAAATTAAATTTAGATTTCAAATTTTGTACTTACTAACAGTTCCTCCATAGTAGTTGAAGCAGAATATTTATAAATGCAAAAAGATTTTGACATTTTTTATTCTATTCAACAATAAAAGTTTCAAAATGAAAAGTAGAAAACGATTATAAAAATTCTGCCATTCATTGAATCGATTGTTAAAAATTCTTCGTCGTAATTTTATATTTTGTTAAAAGAAATTTTAAAGTTAATCTTCAATTTTTTTTAGCTACTCTACTAGCAGTTTCTGTAGAATATCTGTAGTCATTGATGGAGGACATATAGAATCCAAAAAATACGTTGGCACTACGCATTCTATTCAATAACTAACGTTGCAAAGCATAAATTAGAAAACGATTGTAAAAATTTCATCTTAATTTTCATTTTTTATCCTCCTAATTTTTTTTTTTTTTTTTTGTTCACATTACTTATAAAAAATTTATTTTTATTTTAACCTTTTTTTAGCTTTATTTATTTAAAAAAGTTATTATTAAATTAATTCTAATTGTAATTATTTAATAATAAACAAACAAATTTTAAATTGAAAGGTATACAAGTTTATAAGAACGCCATTTCATAAAAATAAAAATTTGAACGAAATCAGTCGAATAGTTCCTGAGAAAAGAAATTTCATTTATGTGACTTTTTTAAATAGATTAAACAAAAACGTTCCAGTTATTGATCAAAAATTATTATTGTGGTCAGTCTTCAGATAACGAGAAAATTTATCCTTTTTTGTATTTTTAGACGCAACCTTATGTGAAGCATTATATAACAGAAATTGTTCCCAGCAAACATAAAAATAGATATGAATATCCAACGAAAGATGCTATTGTTGTTAAGGTAAGATTGATTTGAAGTGCATGTAACTTATATGTACAAAACACGATTTATGCAAACCCATTCCCTCTATTTAAAACACACTGTAAAACACACACCGAAAGGTTCTTTTTTTTAATATCTGCAACCTTATGTCTCTCATAATAACCGACCGATATTCATGATTTTGAGTTCTTGCTATGCACAGTCGATGCAGCAAATTAATATTTAAGTAATAGGGTGCAAAAGCTTATTTGACTTTCACCAATCACTGTTGAGATCATAAACAAAAGAGGGATTCAAAGCATCTAAAACCAGTTTATTTGAAAAAGCATAAAAGTGGTTTCAAGTTGGAGAAAAATGATCTGCAGCCCCTGTGGTGCAATTGAAAAATAACTTGACTCACTAAAGACTTGCATTGGTTTTCCATTATTGTAATCCCTCCTTTGCTCTTTAACACTTCAATGAAGACTGTTCACACTTTTTTTCACACTTAAATATCAATTTGTGGAGCAGGATGTGCCTATTTGTCATTTTTTATTACGACTCTAGACAAAGTTTATTACAGGATTACAATAAAATACATAAAAATATTTTTATTCTACATTTTTTAAAATTATTTCTTAGACTTCAGTTTCTTTGATTGCTTCACTTTCTTTCAGAAGTACTAAACTTTTATTATTTAATAACTTAATTTTTATACATAAAATGACCTTATTTTGAAATTAATTAAAATGTTGAGTTTAGTAATAAAAATTATTAATATTTAATTAAAAACATATTTCTTAACAACTGAAGCTCAGGGGGCAAAATAGTTTTTTACAAATGCGATATTTTTACATCTGTTTTGTAGTATTGTTTTCCGATAGATTTAAATTTAAAATTGAAAGCTTAAATTTTCAATTTTATTATTAAAAAGAATATCTCAAATATTGCATTAAAAAATTTAAAGTTTTAGAAAAAAAATAATTCTGGCTTTATAGACAGTAAGGGTCATATCCCTGTCAGTACAAATCATGTACAGGTTAAGCACAAAAACATGAACAAAAATAGTTAAGATTAATTACATGAATATACTTGTAAACATTTAAGTTACAATAAAAGAAATGATTTCATTACTAATAATTTTTATTTTTCAGAGAGAATATGAATTTAGGACGCCTTTTCCAGCTGCAGAAGCTTAACTTTGACTTTGTATTTTATGAAATGTTTGTTATTCTTAACAATTTTTATACACATCACTTATATTTAACTTTTCCTATTATGCACTCAAACAATGTGTGCTTCAAGACTTTTATAACGCTATTAAGAAGTTTGAATAAATAAATTGATACAAATAAATGTTTCGCTTTTTCTTTCATACAAAAACAAAACCTTATTTAAATATGTTTCAGAAAAAAATTGATTGGCAAAGAGATTTATTTTTTAATGAAACAATAATGTAAAACATGTGAGACCTGGACAATGACCCATGAAGATTAAAATATGATAGTTATATTTGAGAGAAAAATACTGTGAAGCATTTTTGGTGGAAAAAGTAAAAACGGTACCTGTTTTAGAAGATCAAACACGGAACTTTACAAAGCATATAAAGAACCTGATGTCATTAAATTTATCAAAATTCAAAGGATTAAATGGACAGGCCACATTGTGAGAATGGAGGATAGCAGGATAACCAAAAAAGTTTTCAGTGCCAGGCCAACAGGTACAAGAAAAAGTGAACGACCAAACCTAAGATTTTCAGACTACAACTGCCTTGAAAAGGACGTACAAGTTTTAAAGATAATAAACTGGAGAACCTTGGCTAAGGGAAGAATGTCTTGGCATAGGCTTGTTGAGAAGGCCAGGGCCCATCCTGGGCAGTTGTGCCAATGAGAAGAAGAGAATGTAAAACCTTACTGAATTTGTATTAACTAACCACCGCTGAGAATCAAACCAGATTCACCTTGTTGGGAAGCGAACTCCAATCTGTTTTAGGCTTTATATAACCCAAAAATTTCACACATTTTAGGTATTTTATTTTAACTTTTTCTTATTCAACTCTTTATCCAACCTTGAATAAACTTAAAAAAAATTATTCTTAACAGGGTGTGTAGTCATATTTTTCAACAAAAAATAAGTAACTTTTAAGTACTATTTAAGCACTAAAAAAATATTTTTAATCACTTTTCAACAAAAAAATAATAATAATAATAATCAGGATTTGTGCAGTAACAAAAAATTTGTTTTTTACCGTTTCAAGTTCTTAATTTAGAAACATAAAATCAATAAAATTCAGATACATTTTGAAAAACTTCACATAATCATGATAAAATAACTAGTTTCTGATAAATATTGCAGGGAAAATAGTGAAAATCGTGCATTTCTTGTAATTTAGAATAACAATCGACCTAGCAAGGAAACAAAAATCTATCAGTGTGCGTAACCAAATTATTCAACAAAAAATAAGCACCCTTTAAGCACTTTTCAAGCACTCAAATAATATTTTAAGCACTTGAAAAATATCATAATTAAGCAGGTTTGGAAAGTTTTTGACAATTGGCGGTTTTATCTGGCTTTAACCGTCATGACAAAAAAAAAAAAAAAATCTTTTGGCATTATTTTTGACAGCTGTCAAAATTTTTTAATCATGTCAATCGAATGGCGGATTCATACGCTAGGGACTGACGATGCGCCGAAATAGAATCTGGTTGAATTAATTGTGAAAACCTAGAATAGAACAATGTGAACAGGGTCTTTCTGTATAATTCGTCGAAAATCAACATGGTAAAGGAAAAATCTTAATTTGGAAATGGGAAAATTAAGCACTTTTTAAAAACACCCTTGAAAAAATAACCTTTAAGGGCTTAAAAAACAAAAATCAAAAATAAGCACCTTTAAGCACTTTTTACAAACGCTATGCACCCTGTCTATTTTTAAAAGATAGAAAACGAAGCACTTTTTACAAACCCCAAATAAAAAAAGCACCTTTAAGGGCTTTTAAAAAACGTAAATCAAAAATAAGTACCTTTAAGCACTTCTTAGAAACGCTACACACCCTGCTTAAACTTTGTCGTTAAAAAAATCCCCGATAAAAAATAATAGCAATACAATTTTTTTAATTGTTTCAAAAAACTTTGTAATGCCACATATGATTAAAAAAAACAGTGTAGACAAATGAAGACACAATCAATCTTTTGTGCACCCTTTACTTTGATAATATAGACAATAAATTAGCATACATCTAAGTATATATATATATATTTATATAATATGAATAATATAATTTAAATCTTTTAATAATATAATAAGACTTATTACTAGGCCTTTGTATAGATATATTTGATCACATTTGGAAGAATAATCTAATCTCTATGTACAAATTAATCCCAAATATCTCCAAAGATCATGGTTTGTGCGGGGAGAATTTGGGATTACTAGGACCATGTGTAAAAGTTCGAAGTTCATAAGGTCGCTGTCCATGCACTGTAGCTGCATCTAGGTCACTCTTTCTGAAAATTATCATTCTGATATCTGTGTGCAAATAAATTCTACCAGATTTTGAACTCATGAATCTAAAATAAATAAATGTATAAGCTATAATGTCATGTACAAAATATGACAATAAGTAAAGGACACGAAAGTTTTAGAAATAAATAGATCCAAATAAATAGACTTGAAAGTTTTTATTTTTTAGCATTTAAGCGTTTTAATTTGAAAATCCTCTTCTTTTTTTTCTTCTTTTTTTTTTCTGAGTTAAATGTGTGATTCAGGTCATAAAAATAAGAAGGGCATATTGTACTAAACTAATATAACATAAATCTGAAGGAAATTGTAATTGTGATATTTTTTTAATCACTTAATAATTGGAGTAAGCAAGATGTATATAAAAGAATACAATTTATTAATTACTTTTTTTAGCATATATCTAAACCTAATATCCGTGAATAATAATATTTCTTGAAACATACAAAATTTAGAAAATAATAAAAAATTCAAAATACATAAAAGTTAGAAATTTTTTTTCTAAGTAATTAAATATTTAATAACAGATTATACAAAAATATGCTGATAATGCTTATATATATATAAAATATAAATATGCTTATTTTTACAATTACACAAATATGCTTAAAATATACATATTACTCCATTTTTCCTGATTTTAACTATGTAAATTCAATTTTTAGTGCATAATATAAAACTTCATTCACAAAATTATTTAACTACCATAATGAGTCATATTTATTTCAGGCACAAAAAAATTTATTATTCTACTCAAAAAATTTATCTACATTAACTTTCGTAAAAAAATTTCACACAGTTTATTTCAAATAGCCTTAAAATAAGAAAGGAAAATTTTTCATCAAAGCATGGCTAATAAAATCACCATAACTTGAAAACATGGTGATATTCATGGTTAATATTCAGTTGTATATAAAATTTGTCTAAATTCAATTTAACATTCAAATCATTTTATTGGATATTTTTAAGCAACTTAGACAAGTTATAAAGAAATATATAATGGTTACAATTAATCATATATATCATTTATGAATTTTACTTTAAATTAAGAATAAGTGCTTAAGGCAAGATAAAGTGTGCAAAATATCATCTTTGTATTTTAATATTTAAGGCGAATTGATATTGTTCTTACGAAACTTAACACCTAAATTATTGTTCTTGTTAATAATGAAGCTATAAATAAGAATTATTTATTAATAAAGAAACTGAATTCCTCGCAACCCCTGAAAGCTAATGAATTCCGGTGGCTCGTTTTAGATATAAGATTGTGCACTCCTATATTACACAACAATATATACACAATTTAAATTCATAAATTGAAAAAAAGATGAACAAACCTTAAGTGTATTAGATACCGCAACCATTTCTGTGCATCTGTATCACTTTCTGAAGCATCTGATGGCATATAGAGCGTTCGCTGGCGCAGGAAAGTTTGGCAATTGATTGGCATATCACTCAAGTCATACCGTACAACAAACATTTTCACAACAGTGTCGTGCGGATTAAAAAGTGTCTAAAAAACAATTTTACGTCAACAACATTTTCCAGAAAATATAAGCTTCAGATTAATAAATAAGAGAAATTTATTTATTTATCTAGTTAAAAAGCTAAATATTTGTTGGGTATTACGACTTAAAATATATATACAGAGAAACTAGAAATTCAAAGCAGTATTTGAAGTCAATAAAACACTGAATCATCATAAATGTGATAAATTGGAAATTGAATTATTCAAGAATTATGATTTTTCAAAGGCTATGACAAGATATTGTTAAAAGCTTAATAACCTTAAATGTTTTTGTTAAGAGAATTTCTCCTTCAAAAATTATATTATAGAATAAGAAAATAAATTCTCATCAAGTTTCTATTATTTGTTCTATCGGTAAAACAATACTTATAATTTAAACCTTTTGAAAGAAATCTAACATATCATAATCAAAAATATCTACAACTCGTGGGGTTTTTTTCTGAATTCGAGTTTCACTTTTGCAACAGCTCCATGCTTTGCATATGAAAAGACTAAAAAAGTTAATAGGAAAATATAAGTTTCTTAAGAAAATTATTAGTTTTGTCATCATGATAGAGTCTTAGCTGAAAAAAGTTTGGGAGTTACACAAATTTTAAAAGTTGTAATTTAAAAAGAAAATGACAAAGGGTTAGATTAAATGTTTTCCTTAATAACAAATATTGATGATTATATATTGATAATATATACTAATGTTACAATCATCAAATCTAAAGAAACAAAAATTTGTTCAGACAATTAAATAAATCAATACATTAAACTTTCAGTAATAGACAATCTATCAAATTCAAGTTGATGCATTTATCAAAAGATTTTAACATTTGATATAATTGATATATATTTGTCAATTTATAACTTTGATATATTTGATAATTGATATATTTGATAATTGATACATTTGATAATTGATACATTTGATAATTGATACATTTGATAATTGATAACATTTGATATTATTTAATTCAGGTATAAACATTCAACTTAGATCAAGTTAAACAATATGTAAACTTTTTGTATGCTCAGAAAAACTCCACATTTTTAAGATAAAACTTTAAGTTAGACTTCTTAACTTTATTTGAATATACACTAATAAAAATTAAAAGAAAGTAGCTGAAAGAAAGTCTTATATTTCTTATTCTTCAATCAGCTTAGGCAGTTTATTTTAAAAAGCCAATATACCAAATGAGCTATTGTATTATTAACAGCTCTATATTTTTTCAATATAATATTGTAAGCATCATATGATTTTGTTTACAGAGAAATCGGGGTGATTAATAAATAAAACTTCAAATTTCAGACTTAAATGGAATGAATTTTTAGAATAAATAAAACGTGAATTTATTTTACAAAAATTTAAAATGATAATAAGAAAAAAAATCTTTCAATTATTTTTTTCAATGGGAAATTAATGCAAATAAAATAGTTTTACATCGAATTATAATCCCTAAATTTAAATTATCAAATCTTTGATCAGGAACAATGAACAAATGTGTCAAATAAAATAAAATTTCTGCAAGAAAAAGAAAACTATTTTTCTGAAAACAAATACATTAAAAAATTATTTTTTATGCTTTTTGAACTTTGTTAAATTTAAGCTACATAAAATCCAAATGTCCACATCAAAAAATACTTAGTTAAAATAAAAATTTATATAAAAAGTTTTCAACAAATTAGAAATTTATGTCACTTCAAAAACAATTGATCCTGATTGCAATTTGTTTATATTTATAAACTATAAGTTGAATATTAAAAACAAAAAATTTAAAGCTCAAGTACTACAAAATATAAATCAATACATCTAATATCAGGCTATCTCACTAAAGTTGTAAAATATTTGCTAGCTCAAGAACATCACCTAATACAAATAAATCAATCAGAAAAATTAATTGGAAAGAATTAAAATATCCAAAAATGGTAAAAAAAAATTTCAAACAGCATTAAAACAGTTTTATCTAGGAAAAAAAATTCAACACTTACTACTTGTACTGTTCCTCTCTTAGGTACATGATAGTCTTTACAATTTAAATTTATATGACCCTAAATAGAAAGAAAAAAAAAAGCATGATAAATAAATACATAAAACAATACAAGACTACTACATAGTGAAATAAAAAATAGTGATACAGTTCAAGCAATGAACAATCATTTAATGAATAAATACATCATATGTATGTTCAATTATATTAAATTAGATACTAATTAAAAGATTAAAGTTAAAACCTATTATTTCAGATTTCGCTTTCATTAGTATCTTTTAAATAGCTCCATTGATTTTTTAAAAGAAAGGGGCTGGCTGCTATAACATGTGGCTGCATTTCATAAATTATATGTTTGATCAATCACATTTAAGACTTAGAATTAAATGTGACATATAAGCGTCTTGATTAATTTTAGCTTTAATACTTATTAGTATTTACATTCTAAAGTTATTACTGTAAATTTTTAAATTAAATAATGTATTGTTAATACTGCGATTCTTCTTCATTATTATTTCTTAATTTATTATTTTCTGTAAACTGTATTATTATTTAAAATTCATACATTCTTCTAGTCTTAAAAATTCATAACAGTGAAAATTTGCTGAATCTTGTGACAAAAAAATAAAAATCATTGGTCGGTAAAAAAAAAAGTGTTTTAATTACCTCTACATTGAAAACAGTAAATAAAGTTAATCATAACAGTTATATTTTAATAAAAATACTTATTCATTTCGATATCTTTCAAAAGTGCTAATAAGCTAAATAACATTTTTTGTTAAAAATTTCAGAATGGAACAAAATGATTTTTAATCTTTAAAATTATACACACATTGTCCATTTTTTTCAAATATTAATACATAAATAAATGCCCCAAAATGCTCATAAGCTGTAATTGCAAACATGGAAAAGATAAAAATAAAACCACTGTTACAAACAATGTAAATAGATATATTGTACAGTAGGGAACTGATTATCCGGAACGGTCGGGATCATCGCTATTCTGGATAACTGATTTTTCCGGTTTTCTGAATCGCTACAAAAAGCCGCTTTTTTTATTGTTAAACCCAACTAGAAAAAAAAAAAATATTTGAAAATTATCTTAAAAATAAGAAAAAACGATGAAGTAATACACTAATGATTATTTCCAAAATGATGATAAGGTAAACATCTTTAAAAAAAAGAAAGAAAAATCGTAAAATCTTAAGAGGAAAAAAAAAATAATAATTTTTTAAATGGTGAGAAAATTTATTGAATTTCGTTCCAGGTTTTTGGTTTTCCGGTTTTCTGATTTCCGGATAACAGGTTCTGTACTGTACTTATTATTTTGCTAAACCATTTGAAATCTCGAAATATGTGATATTCTGCTCATTAGCTTGTTGCTGCAGGCATATAGTTGTATTTTACAAATAAACAAAAAAACATATAGAGATACATTTTTTGCAAGCTTCTTTTAAATTGGAGACAATAACATACAAGTAAAAATAAAAAGATAGATTATATTATGAAAAAAAATTCAGAGCAATTTAAATGAATGAAAGATATAGATAAAAAATTACTAAATTAATCTTTAAAATTTTGGTTCGACATTCAATTTCAATATTTGAGATAAAATTTTGAACAATAGGCATTAGATTTTAAACAATCTACATAAAACATTACACATTTCTATACAATAAAAAATTAGCGGCATTTGTAAAATAGATGTGTTGGAGATGGCCTCATATAATATAAACACTAGTCAACTTATCAAGTCTATCAGCTATGCATAAGCAAAAGAATATGAAAAATATAAATAATTGAATTAGCTTCAGCACACCCAATTTTAGAAATGCACTTATTGTAATCAGACTATAAGCTTGAAAAAAAATTAAGATTCATTTATAACAATAGAAAGTTCATAAAATTTAAAAATAAATAACTTTTGATTACCATATAGGGAGAGGTAACTTTGTCCATGTCATGTAAAGTATAAAAAAATACAGTAACAGGCAATTTGATGTGACGTGGACAAAATGACCCACTGGCCCCGATTTCTGCTGTAAAACCCTCTACGGTGCTCACTGGCTCCAATCTACCATTTAAAACAGATTCCTAAATAGACAAAAATATGATTTAAGTACTATCAATTAAAATATTACATTCCACTACAATAACACAAATTGCTAAATAAGAATTCAAAAAATGTGTACATTTTTACATACATGTATTTAAATTCACTGAAAAAAATTACTGATTAGGAGAATTATGCTAAAGGAGTTAATTTATCATTATTTAAAACATTTGAGATAAAGTGTCAAAAAGGAATATTTACACAAATATCTTTAAAAAATATGAATAAAAGAAATTTCAAAATGATTACAATTAAATAGTGTGATTTAAACTTTGTTTAAATTTCAAAATATAAAGGATGGGAAAATTGCTAATAGTCCTATTAAAAAAGTTGTTAAGCGTGCTTAACAAAACTTAATAACACATAAAAATTAGATTCCATTAAGAAAATTTATTTCAATTTTAAATCTTCAATAAATAAAATTTAACTTTAACTTAGTACCTTTAGTTTCAAAAAATAATAATATTTAAAACTTCTTAAATTTATTTTTGAAGCATTATATTACATAACGTACCACTTGTACTTCATGGAACTCGAACAATATGATTAATCTAAAAAATTTACTAACTAGTTTTAGTAATCTTATTATGACTTCTCTATGAAATAAATTAAAAATTATGCAATTATAAAATCGCATACATGTTTACGGAATCATAAAATAATTTAGACTAGAGAGAAAAGTTAATGTGACTTATCTTTATTGATAAGATAATTTTACTGTACTATATATTCTACCTTTAATTTCCCTGATAAATATACTTCTAAAATGTCAAATTAATAATGCATTTTAATATGTACACTCAATATTAAACATGTACAAGTGTCCAACCTTATAAACCAGTGTTCCCTCCTAATAAGAAGACCCAACATTCACAGGTAGCAATCAGGTTTTTAAAGGAAGCAATTAAAAAAATTTGACTATTCTAAAAATGAAGTTAATCCTATATTGATGTTAGTATTTATACATACAGCCTATCAACTGAAAATTTTATCAGCTGATTTAAAAGATAAGATTTTCTGAAATTAAAAAAAAATCCTTATTTTAAACTTTGAGGATGTATGTAAGTCAATTTGTCTGATATTTTAGAATCAGAAGAACTCACAGAAATGCAAAAACTATCAGTCAATTAAAGCTTAGCGTAATATAAAAGAAACAATGACATGACTTCATGAGGAAACCAAAATCAAATATTCAAATACAACCAAATCTGCAAGAGAACTATTGTTACGATTTCTATATTCATATTGAGCTGAATGCGGATTTAGTGCCATAAATGATTTTCAGCTGGAAAAAAATCTACAAGCTATAGCAAAACAGGGAAATTTGAGAGCAAAGTTAACAGAATTGGAACCTAAAATAAAATCTCTATAATGCAAGTGCAAGGATCTCCCTAAATTTAAAAAATAAACTTAAATGATAAATAATTACTAATAACTAAAATAATATAGAATTAGAATTGAATTTTAGTTCTTGATTATATATTTTGAAAATGTGCTTACAGTGTTAGCTGAATAACTTCATAGAGATTTCTGCATAAAACCTATCTTCAATAAAGAATTAAAAATTATAGAACAGCTTAGGTTGGGTGTAGGTCAAACATTTTTGAGAAATGCTGTTCTAAGCATTACAACTTTAAAGAAAATATCACTAAATAAATATAAAAATAGGGAAGAAACATTTTTTATTGCAGGAAAGCAACTAGATAAAGATTGGTTTAAAAAATGAAAGAAAGAAAAGAAAAAAATGACTGGATCTAGTGGAAAAAGTATGACAGAACTAATGATTTTATAAAATATACCCAGTCATTCACTATATAAATTTAAGTTCTAAAACAATCAGATTAGAAAATGAGAATTCTTAACAAATAAAGGTTCAAATTGGAACAGATACTACAAGTTTTAAACTAAGACAAAGTCAGGGAGCAAAACACATAAAAGATAATCCAAATGCAATGACCAAGTTGAGCAATCTTATGATCTGAAATAACTTTTTTAAGACTGTGAATGATCAATTCCACCATTTTGCATTTAACTCAGAAACCCATCAGAGAATTTTCATGGATCTTATGCATATTTTCCTGAGTGATGTGGACTCCAAAGTGCAGGAAGGTAGAAACCAGGGTTCGTGATTTTTTTGATTTTTTTAGAAAAAATCAAAAAAGTCAGATTTTTTTGATTTAAATCGGATTTTTTTGATTTAAATCAGATTTTTTTGATTTTTATTCAAATACACTATAAGAACTTTGATTTATGACAAAAAAAACTTTATAAATGTTTAATTAAAATTAAATTAATATTAAAACTATATTATAAGAATATTTTAGAAGCTCTAACTACCTAAAACAATTTTTCATTATAGTACACAGCTTTGAATGCATAGCAACTATTTCGAAACAAATGCATGATTGAAATTTAAAGACTAGATGAAATAGAGAATTTAAGGACTACTTTAACTATAAAACAAAGTTTCAATTACCAAATCATAATTTTAATTTAAAATTGTGATTTCCTTTTTTTCTCTCTCTTGATTTCTAAAATGACTAAATAAATGTAACAGATTGTGTTTATTAATGCAGTCATTCATCAAAAAATAAATAAATATTTAATCTATATATTTTTATATTAAAATATTTGTTTTTAATCCTATATCAAAACAGATAAGCTAAAAAAAATCATATACTCATTGAAATTTTTTTTTCACAAAATTTCTTTATAAAAAATCTGATAATGTCAAAGATACTGTAAACATATGAGAAAAAAATACTTAAATGTTTACTTTAATCTGTACTTTCAATCTCAAGAGTCAAGAGTTTTAAAGATGTAATTTCGATTGTGTTAGAATTTAACACATACCAAGAAAGAAAGTAATTTCGTTAACTAAAATTAATTAATGCAGCAATTTATTTAAAATAAATTTTAAAACTAAGAAAAGAAATAATAAAAGTATCAATAATTTAAAACACTGTTTTTTAACTTTTTAAATCAATATATACATAAAAAAAATTAGTTGATTTAAATCAATGATTTTTTTAAAAAAATCATTTGATTTAAATCATGATTTAAATCATGATTAAAATCAAGTTGATTTAAATCGTGATTAAAATCAAGTTGATTTAAATCAACAAACCCTGGTAGAAACTACAGTTTGTTTGTAGTTTCGACCTACAAAAGCTTGTGCTACATGGCACATCCCTGGGTTAACTTCAAAATGAAAGTATTGGTCATGCATGGCCTCAGTATGAAAAACCATAACAGCTTAAAATCTAAGTTACAAATCTCAATATAAATTGCTATTAACTCAACTATTTCAGAGCTATCAAATTAAATATTAAAAAATATAAACTTAAATTACATAAAAGATAATTTTAACTTGAAAAACATAAACTAAATACATACATTGAAACACATAAACTTAAATACATAAGAGATAATTTTAACTTAAAAAACCAAAACATACTTCAAATGTTCCAAGTAAGCTGCTGCTGAATATTGAGGCAGGTGCACTTGTACTAAAGTGCAGATCTTTTTCTAAATCTATTTCTTCTTCTGGATCTTTTTCAAACAAAGCCCTTTAAATGATTAAACAAAACATTTACAGTGACAGTTAAAAAAATAAATTACTAATATTACTTTAAATATACAGAAAAATTTAAAAATCTAAAGTATCATTGGATTCCATAAAAAAAAGTTGCTAGTCACTTATTTTGAAAATATCACAATAATTAATTGTAAAGAAAGAATTCATCTAAGCATCAAGAGTAGAAATAGAAAGGAAGCATTAATTTTATTTGATTAAAGGGTATTTAAAATTTACCTTTAGAAAATACTGTCGTAGCATCATTTTTATTACTATTAAAAATACCTTTTAATGGCAGACACAGATATTATTGAACTGTCAAAGTCAAAACAGGTCCCACATTTTCTCATTGGAGCCTAAAACATTATTAACATCTCAATTAGATTGAATGCTATGCAATGGTAAGTAATTAGATCGTGTTAAGATCTAATTTATGTCAAATTTGGATAAATTATTTATATCAGTGGCTTAATGCAAGAGCAACTAGTCACTTAATTTCAAAATGTGTAATAATTAAAAACATCATTGCCTTTTGTATTCTGTTTTAATAACGACATTGGTAATAGTAAAAAAATGCCTGTCCATTATTTTAACAGTCTATGGTTGAAAAAATTAGAAATTTGGAAACCAATTTCAATTTCAAACCAATTTCTAATCAATTAGATCACATTTTTGCAACATAATAATAAGGGTTAAAATTCTTGCATTAAACCACAGATATAGCAATAAAAGATCAAAAAGACTTCCGCCAAATAATATTTTATATATGTTACCGGTTAAGTTTGAAATCCGGCATTCTATAGAATGCCTAGGCGTTGTATATAATGCCTAAAACTAACCAGCTATGTATGAAACGATTTATATTTCACACATTTCCTAGGCATTCTATAGAATGCCAAATGAGAAACCAGCAAAGTATAAAATAAATTTCCAATTCGTCAAATGCATGTGTAAAACAAAGTGCCAAATTATTAAATGACTTTGCGGGAAAAATGTGATGAATAATTTTTTATATGAAAATTTTGTTTCCCTTAATAAGAAAGGCAAAATTATGTTTTGTACAACTTTCATTTTTCTTTAGGAATTTTGAATAATTTTTTTTTTAATGGCACTCTCATTATTTTTCAGAATAAAAATTTTTTTTTTTGAGAAATGCACATCGATTACATAATAACCTCATCAGGATATTTTTTTCATACTTTGCCTAAATAGCATTTGTCATTCTATAGAATGCCTAGATATTATATACTATGCCTAGGGAAAGTAGTAAATACTTCTCACAATTCATACTTTGCCAAAAAACATCCAGCGTTATATACAATGCCGGATGTTTTATGTTAAAACCCCGGCATTCTATAGAATGCCGGGGTATCATACTTTGTCGGTAACATATACACAATAAAATATAATGATTTCTCACAGAAATAGAGATAAGTAATTTTACTAAAATTTAACTGCAGGTGTTATAAAAAATCCTTTAACAGTATCAATCTGATTAAGTAATAATAATAATAATAATATTATAAAAAAAAGTTAAAACCTTGTGCCTGATGATTTACTTATTTTACAAATTGAAATAGACAAGTGAAGAAATATTTTCCTACTACTTTAATAAGAAATATACAAGAACCTGTATAAATAACTATGAATTTTAAAGGGGATCATTGACAACAATATAAAATATTTTTAGATGACAGGTTTTTAATAAAAATTGAACAGCAATGAAAACAGGATGAAAAAAAATCAATAATAGCAATTTCATTGATTTCTGCAAATATTTCAGAAATTGTTATATGCAGTTTTTATAGTAGTAATCTACAGTTTTTAGGGCAAAATAATATCGCATAATTTTTTTTTCAAGTACTAAAAAAGTTTAAAAATTATCTCAAAACCATAAAAAAATTATATTCCATGACATTTATAATTTGACTTTATTAAAAACTAATTATATTAAACTTTATTATTTTATTTAATAACCATCGTTGAACAGCAAACACAATTTTTTGAGTTTATGACAACTAATGCTCAATTTTGTAGAAATGTAATTTTGAACCCAATCTAGAAAGCAAAGAAACTCCTGGGTCAAGTATTTAGAGAAATTTGCTTTCATGGAGAACTGTTAGATGTAACTAACCTGCATTTGCGTTACATGAAGAGATAAACCTCCCAAGGTAAGTCCGATGGCCAGTGGACTAACCCATAATCCCTCTGCCACTGAGGATATTTCACAACAGCATTGTGGGCGGTGCAAGCCAGGTGCAGAATTCGCAACGACCAGCCATCGCTGGGATTCAAAATCGGTTCACCTCATAGGGAGGTAAACACTTTATCCCCTGAGCCACTACGGCTCTAATAAACTCTATTGACAAATTTCAAATATATTTCAACCAGAATTTAGTATTTTACCATACTTAGTATCAACAACATAAAAAAAGATGAACAATATATGCCTTCTGTAATTCAATTGAGTAATTATCGAAAACAGCTACAAGGAGAACTGCTTTTTTGAGAATCAATATTAAAATTTCATTTTATAATAGCCCTCAAAGACATTAAAAGCACATTGATGATAATAGAAACTTACAGGACTGGATGTTAATGGAAGCCCACTTCGTTGATGAAAGACCAAGGTAGTTGCACTATCCAAAGACCGTCTGAACAGAGCTTTTTTCTCTGCAGATGGAACTTCAAAGGAAGATTGGTTAACCTAATATATTGAAATTGTATTACTAAAAATAACATCCTTAACTTATTATGAAAACTGATACATCTAAAATATTAGTATAGTATGGACATAGATCTAGAATTTTATACAAAAACATTCTTTAAAAAACATACCCCTTTAGTTTAGTTGTTAATACCTGTTTCGAAAATCATAAAATAAACATATAAAAACTGATAAAAAATTATTCGCCTTAAGATACTAATTTTAAGACGTAATCAATAAGAAATATTACATGATAAAATTAGCTATTTTGAGGACTACTTCTTAGTTGTAAATGAGGTAAAAATGGAACTAAATGCAAAAAAATTAGCCTAGGAATTTTTTCCATTTAGCTTTCATTTAATTTTTAAAAATCCCTCTTATTATATATTGAAGATTTAAATAGATACTTTAAGAAAGTTATAAATAGGGACTTGAATATTTTTAGTACCATCAATTCTTACCTTTTTTACAACAAAGAAGCATCCCATGTTTTTATTTATTCATTTTAAATAATATCAACAATTAAAATATACCTTATCCTCAATGTTAGCATCGGATGTAACAGAAGGGTCATCATTCAATCCAGACAACTCCCGTTCATCACACAGCTCATCACTGTTTTTGGGAAGAAGAGCACCACATTTCTTGATATTTACAGAACTGTATTTTGGATGGATTTCTGAATTGCGAACACTATTCCAGTAATTATTTCTTTGATATGGTTTGTTGATAGCATATTCTGATTGAGAGGTATTTTGTGGAGTGCGGCTTGACTTTTGTTTTAAGGTCTGAAATGCATTGCTGTCATTCCTTTTATGACTAAGATAGGAAGGTGATTGAAAGAAGTTAACCTTATTTGGTAGTAGGTTGGTGGGGTTGGATTCTTTAAGATGCATTAGAGAGCTATTGTGCGGTTGTAACGACCAATGATTTTGAATGTCTGATGAAGGGGATGGTTTATCACTAGAAGATATGGATTTGGACTCACTATCACAAGGTTTTTTATTTGATTCTTTGATTAACCACAATGGTTGCTTGTAACTAGGTTTGAGATCGGAACACTCAGAAAGTTTTAAAAATGGTGCTTTCTTTGAGTTATAACTACCATCCAATAAAGCTGGGTTAATATTCATCTTCTCAAAGTATTTAGACAAGGATTTCTCCTTCAGATTAGTCCCATTGTCAATCAAGCTTTTGTCATGGTCTGCATGAAGGCTTTTCTTGTGCACATGTCTATCACGCAATCGTTCCAAAACATGTTCCATTTCCTCTTTTGGAACATGTTTCAGAGAGTCATCAACACAATAATTTAAAACTGGATCTCTTTTCTGAGATAGAAAGTTTAAAGATGGGTCTTTCAGAGTGTAGCTTTTGTCGAAGTTCATTGATTTTGAATCACTGATGCTGCAATCACCCATATCTTTCTTTAAAAACCTTTCAACAACAGGTCGTCTCTGGGGCCTGCTTTTCCTCTTCGAAACTTGTTCCTCGCGCTTGTGGCCTGCTTTCCCAAACATGAGATGTTCCGGAACTTCAATACTAGGGCTACCACACCTTGATGGAGACTGATATCTTTTAGGATACATGCAAAGGGAGTTTGGAGGATCAAGTAAGCTTTCTCCAAGCATTGTATCAGCAGGGCTGTTAGTCCTGGAAGACACTCCTGTAGACAAGATTCCATCACATGGATATTCTCCAACAGAAGATTTAATACTTTCTGGAGCTTCTACTCTGCTTTTTAAAGGTAACTGTGGGTCGGAATGTTTGTGGCAAGGAACGTTAGGAATGGCTCCACATCTGGGGAGGCTTTTCACCAGAACTTTCATGGCAGAGCTGCGTCCAACATTTGCTACAGGAAAAATATGGCAATCAGGTTGGGAAGAAAATCTGCTGGAAAACGCTTCTCCAGGAACACAAACCCTGAAAAAAAAAAGAAACAATGTTAAAATTTTGATGGTTATTTTATTCTTGTAGAAAATGTAGAAAAAATAACTGAATCAGGTATAAATAACTTGTAGCTCACAAAGCCTTTTAACCTGGCTTATGAACAGTTAATGATGTGAAAGGAAAAAAATTCGAAGAAAAAAAATTCGGAAAAAAAAGTACCCGCATTCACAGTAAAATAAATTTAAAGATTTAATTTAGTTTTAATATCTTTCGCAAATCTGTGATACAGAAAAACTAACAAATAGAAGTGAAAAAAAATTTCATAGAAAATTCAGTTCTCATCCACTTTTCAAAAATCTAAAATAGAGAGAGAGAAAAATAGAGAGAATCTAAAATAACAATCAAAAAATCATTTAAATAATTGGGAAAACTGATGAGTTATGAAAGTATTACAAAGATACATGTTTGTACACTACACAATATACTAAATAACTTTAAAAAGTTGGTTCACAAGAAATATTGGCCTTTCAATCACGATTATTCATGAGAAAACAAATAGATTTTCCTTAAACAGTTTAAATTTTTTACTCAAATTTTACACAATTTCTTACAAAAACACTATATGTTTATCTCCAATGCACCATTGAAACATTAATTTTTATGTTGGAAAAAAAATTCACATGATGGGAAGAAAGAAACTTCACACTGAATGCTTGTAAAGGTGTGCTATAAACAAAATTAGTTGTAACTCCTAAATAATGAAAACACTATTCTCTGCAAATCTATTAAACAATAAATTATTAAACTGATAACCCTGTACTCAGTTTGATAGTACCAGCTTATTCAACATAGCACTACATTTTGCTGCTATTCATTTAGGGAGGAAAAAAAAACAATATATTGACTTAATATACTATAATAATATTTACTTGCATATTTACTCATATACACTATAAGCCAAAAGTTAAACACACTTTTACACTGGACTTATGTGTAAAAGTATGCTCAACTTTTGTACACCAGTATATTTTCTTTGGTCTTTGATAATTCACATTTTTTGCTTTCAAAAAACTAATTAACACCAAACAGCTTTAATACATAATTTCAAATTTCTTCCAAATATGTAAACAATTTTATAAATGTATAGTATAATCATACACTTGTAACAAAAAACAAATATTTCAATAAAAATTTGAGGAAACATTTAATCACTAAAAAATTCGAAACAAACCTGTAATGAACATTTTGTGGTGATTTCCCCCCAGATGAGCTGTACCAAGCACAGAGCTGAGAGAAATAAAGGAAAGACCGAACAGCTTGGATTAAGCCTCTTGAAGTTATGCTCGCATCTGGAACCCTGCAGAGTAAAAATTTAAAAATATGTACTTCATATTAATAAAATCTAAGCCAAAAATTCACAGTTATAATATAGCATATGGATATACTTTTCGCTACGATTTAAAGCACCATGAATAAAACAAAAAAAATTTGGGAAAATTCATTATGTATTTCAGTATTGTAAGATTATCGGGTTTTATTTATAGTATCCAAAAACAGCAGCGTGAACACATAAATTACTCTTAAACCCTAAAAACACTAGCATTAAAAATAAATAAATTTTTGAAACTTAAATGACAAATGAAATATTTTTCTTTTTTTTTGGGGGGGGACAATATTTAGATTTTAAATATAAATAAGCTGGCACAATAAAAAAAAAACTTTATAAAAAAAATCATACAATTCAATCAATATGATTTAATGTTAACAATACTTTTTAAATATTATAGAGAAAACTCTCCTGACAATGCAATGATAATTATAAAAATTATTTTAAGGAATAAAAATTTTACATGTTCAAGATAACATATTCAGTCAGATTAAGTTTATATTTATATTATAGTAAAAGTGACAATTTTACAGCTAATGGAAAAATTCGAAATTTTTTTCTATATATGTATGTACCTTCGTGGAAGCATGTGAATTGTCCATTGTTCAATTAGGATGTATGGCAGATCAGGTACTGAATCCACATTCTGGAAAGGTGTACAGCAGCTGGGGTACAGCAAGACTTCAATTGTCATAGGGATGCTATTCTTCCACAACAAAAGCATATGCTTGAGTATCTGCTCATATTTCTGACACTATTGAAATAAAAAAATATAACTTATTGCCAATGGTTGGAAGTATAAATGTACATGACAATTATAAATTTTACATTTCTGCTACAATCTACACTTTTATTATTTTAACAAAAAGGTCTTTTTTTTCTTCTAAATTGACTGGATGCTAAAGCATGAGAGAAATCCTTCACGGCAAATTCTCCTTCACCTTCATTGGCAATTTAAGGTATAAAAAATAAGTTCGGGTAAACCTAAAGCGAGGGCAATAAGTTCAGGCAAACCTAAAGTTGTAAATGCTGAAATTTTTTTTTCAAAATATTGAAAGGCAAACAAATTATGAGAGGGTGTTAGGCTGAGAGGAAGTTCTTCTCCAATAATTTGTTACTATTAATTTGATATTTTGGAAATATTTTTTTCCCATTTGAAACTTCATCGTTTACTCTAGGTTCACCAGAATTCACTTTTCTCTTAAACTTTAGATTTCAATATACAAATGGAGATAAAACAGAATTTGCACTGAAAAGTTTTTCCTGCTGTATAGTGTTCTCTAACTCACCAGCAATAGTTTCATCACTACACTGTTGTTCTATATGAAACAATGCATGAGAAACTATTTTACTCAGAAAGCATGCAGTAAGTTATTCAACAAAAAGGCTGACATAGACTTATTTAATCTTCCCAGCTAAACTGTTCTACCAGCCATACACATGGTTCAATATGATTTATAACAAATTCAAAAAAATTTAATTTTATATTAAAATTACAAAATCCTACCTTTATTTCATAAAAAATATGGCAACAAGAAAATCAGAAAAAGCACAGGGATACCTAATTATTGATTATGAATTCTGATTATGTTCTGCCAAAGACCTAAGTAGTCTTTCCTTCTTCCAGAAATGCTTACGGTCAAGATCATAAGCCAAAATCAAAACTTAACAAGTTAACATTTTAACCCACTAATAGTTCTGCATGTAAAAAGGCATATTTTAACCTTCAGTTTTCTCCCCATTGCTAAACCGGTTTTTTTAATGTTATTTTAATGCCAAAATCAAAACTTAACAAGTTAACATTTTAACCCACTAATAGTTCTGCACGTAAAAAGGCATATTTTAACCTTCAGTTTTCTCCCATTGCTTTTTTTAATGTTATTAGATAGGAAAATAATGTATTGAAGAGAAACATCTTCCCAATTTTGCCCATTAGCTAAACTGCCAGAGGGTTAAAGTATTTTTAAAAATATCTTTATATGCTCACTGTTCGATTATACAACTTCTTTTTCCCCAAATTATTTAACGTATCTTAGCAAATTATCTTTATTTAAAAACATTAAAATATTATTAAGTACAATATAGTGTATAAATTTTAACTTCATTGAAAACAGTGCATAAAGCTTAAATCTTCAGATCAATCTGAAAATATAAATGTAAGTACCAAAAAAAATTTCAGTAACCATAAAAGCTGGCATTTCTACCAAAGCAAACGATTTAACAATAAGAATTATTGCAAATTCAAGCATTTGAGCTTCATATTAAAATCAGAAAATCCTATTTTAGTTTTCACTACAATTATGAAAAAATTTAGCAACATAAAAATTGCAGGTAATACAATAACAGTATCTGTCTCAGTATAAAATAAACATCAAGAACTTTTGTTGCCCCACAAAGCAAAGTTAATAAAATAAAAATATAATCTTCACTAACCTCAGATGAAGACTGATCACACTGGTGTCTATTTTGGCCTTGAGGATTGGCACAATGAGGGCCTTCTCCAAAACCTTTCTCAGATATACCAGGAAGTCTACCTTCAACTATTAAAGTTCCCAAAACAGTATATAAGTCACACGGATCCAAGTCCACTTCCTCCACAGCAGCATGCATTTCTGAAAAGCCATAAGTTTTTAAGAAATACAAAACATATTTAAAATCATCATTCTAACAAATCCCAAAATTAATATATTGGTTTTTATAACCAGGTAGAGAGTCATTTTAATATTTTATTTTAATTATTTATAGTTCAAATTGAAAAAATTGACCAGTCAAGCAATTCCAACTTTTATTTCATATATAAAAAACAAAGCATAGATTAATTTAGTAATTTTTTTATCTTAATTTAATTAACGGATGGTCATTAAAACATGAATAAATAAATATACATAGATATTAAATACATTTAAATAAAAGTGCTTTACTTAAATATCAATGTAACGAATATAATTTATTTTTTAAAAAAAAATTTAATTCATAAAAAATTAGCTATAAGATTTTTAAAAAAACATTCAATAAAATTTAAGAAGCTGGTGAACCTAAATTTTCTTGTAACAATAATGGTAATAAAACATCATCATTAAAAATGTACTGAAACAAATACTTCCTTCAAATTATCGTAATTAGTTTTTCAGAAAATATTTATCTTTCGTAAAAATGATAAGTCAAATTAAAAAATAAAATAAAAACATTGATCGTCACACAATTTAAAGTTAATATTAATACACAAACCATAATTCCCAATGTTACATTTTATAGGATTTATATCAGAATAACGTAAGAAACGCATTCGTATGCATATATTCGTCACACAAACAAGCAATAAACGTCATCTAGAAATTACAGTTGATACCAGAAAATGATTTTAATATCCTTCTCATCTCAAACAAAAATAAAAACAGAACGATATCAGAAAAAAAATATTATTTCATTTGTCATTGACAGATGGCAGCACAAGTTATATAACGGAAGAAACTGTTAAAAAAAATCTGTAACATCCCTCCTACAATCTATTTACTTCCGAATACAGCAACTATTTTACAACATTATTAGTATTATTACATTTTAAAACATAGAAAATATTATGTGCTAAAAAGAGCTACGATGTGTTTTTAGTACATAAGTTGACTAAGGGGCTCTAAAGTTGACTTGTTTAAGTGTTTGTATTTGGCAATAAACCCACAGTCGCATGAAACGTGAACTGTATGCAAACAAAGGGCAAATGGATTTATAACTTAGCTTTTACAAATGAAAATATTTTTATGTAATACGTATGCAAGTTTCCCAGTTCAAATTGCCAATATGTAAATGTTAACTAATTTTTTATAGAACTAAACGTCATTCGAAAAATTAAAAGTTGATACGAAATAAAATTAAAATGACATTCATACAAAATCAAAGTTGAGAGATATCTAGTTCAGAGTAATTTAATGATGACTGATTAGTAAACAAATTATTCCCGTAAAAGTTCTCTATAAATCCACAACTGGAATAATAATCAAACCAATTTCATTTTTTTCTGTAACTTTCAACATTTATATGTGCACTGTGGTCATAATTTCTTTATCAGATTTTACAGCAATGTTTAAAAAAAAAAAAATACAGATGAAATTAGTGTAGTTGACAATACATCGATAAAAAAAGGCGAATGAAAACACTACTTTTACCAAAAATATCATACTTATGCATCGAAATGCGGCACAAACAATTGACAAAATAATGAATACTCTAGTGTTTCTAAAAGCAGAAAACATATTTTACATATGGATTTCAGTAAAAATGAATTTCAGTTTAATGCTTTATTTTTCAATGTATAAATTTTGTCAAATATTATTTACTTCGGAAAATGAAATCAACTGATAAAAAAAATAAAAATAAATGTATTTTTTATAAACATTTACAAGCTAGTTCTTATGAGGTGGCATAATTGGAATTCACCTACATTCAGTTAATTATGTAATGATATTGTTTTTTCTTAACGCTATTCCAGAAGAACTTTACTGTGTGGCTGCTGCAATTTCAATGAATTACATAAAAGTAATTTGAATGTTTTATACGCACATTCATATAAAACCTACAAAAGCATTACATTAAGTTTTAATTAAGTCTACAAAAAGAAATATTCAGAGGACATTAAACTTCAAAATATTCAACTCTGTTTGTCAGATTAGATTTAACACAATATGTGCATAGGAAGTGTTTATCAAACATGGAGAAATGTTTTCGAAAATGCCAAGGACCTTTGGATAATGTAGCGGTATAGTTCGGCTCACCAGCAAGCAATACAGTTGAGGTGACGTGAAAACGGGGATTTCGTAAGCACCCCTCATATTTACGACCCGGGGTGAGAGGAAAATACCGGCAGACAAGGGGGTGGTATACGTTAAGTTCAACATAGGAAGGGAAAAAAACTTGAAAGCTGTTGCTAAGGTGGGAAATAATTTTATCAGAACCGTACGGAGCAATTGCGATTTTGATAAATTTATAATGAATTCATAAACTTGTGTATGCAGCACTATTGCACTCTGAAATACAGTTAATATCGAAAAGAATTTTCATCCTCATAGACAAATTATCATATGTACTATATGTTATGTATTTGACAATGTTTTATACTACAAACGCTAACAAATAATATTTGTTGCTAACTGCCAATCAGGTTTTATAATTTTTTTTTTTTTTCATTTAAAAAATAATTTATATGTGAAGCTAAATTTAAAAAACTCATATCAACATCAAGTCTATTATTGTCTTTAGACTCGGGCGAGGTTAAAAAATATTTGTAGCTAAAAAAATAAGTGTTTTTATAACATAACAATAAATTAGAAGCAGCTCTTAATACAGAAAACACGTCTGAGCATGATCCTTTTTATCCTTTTACAAATAATATCCTTTTTTTTTCATGAAAATAAGAGAGAGTGCAAGAAAAAAGAGAGAAGAAATTCAATAATTTACAGTGATGAAAAACTTAAACATAAAATATATAGAAATATTGTAAAAAAAATTTTAGGCTGTTAAAGTACCGAACTTTTCAAAGTGTGAAAACATGTAGAGCAGGCACATAAACATGCTACCACGTGAAACCTGTTGCTATAATATGAAAGTATCCCTCAAATCCTGTACAATGGAGGGCAAACAATTTTGATCGTTCAAATTTGCTGACAAAGGGAAGAAAGGATATGAGCAATGCTCACTAAGTCTCAAAAATTTCTTTACTTTTCCTTTTTTATCACATAAAAATTTAACAAAAACAATTAAGAAAACTATTACACTTAAACTGTGAAATTTTAAATAAAAAATACATTTAGAAGGAAAAAATAGTTGTAAAATAAATTTCTTCAATGAGTTTTGAAAGTCAAGAGAAACACATAAGATTCCTATAGAATATTCTACATAAAAATTTGCAAAATTAATTAAAATGTAATCTTAGTTTGATGCTAAGTTACACCATTTATGTTAATTTAATCTCGAAATTAGATTACATCAGTTATGGCACAAAACATGTGTTGCGACTTTCTTACATTAGCATGGGAGGGGTTTTGGGATTTGCTTATTTTCACTGACAAGGGGAGGGGGAAAACATGCTTAAGTAATATTCATACGGTCCCATTCAAGGATGTAAAAAAATTATCACATAAAAAATAAAAACAGTTTAAATAAATATGATAAGATTTAGAATATGAGATTTATATATTTATGAGATTTACAAAGAAAATAATTAAACAAAAAACGCTTGAAATTAAACTTTTTCTTTCGAAATTACCTTATTAAATACTAATCGGTTTCGACCTATAATACAAGTACTTCTTGCTTCCAGAGATTCATAAAGTTGATTTTTTTTTAACATCAAAAATTTATTTCTATTTATTGTTTAACATTAATAAAATGAAACACAACAGAACACTAAAATTATTTCACAATCGCAAGAAAAGCAATATAAATATAAACGCAATATAATAGCAATAGCAAGGTTTTGGGCAGATTAAATGGCATTGATCTTGATATCCGAACAATACATGAGAATTATATATGAAGACGATAAAAGTCTATGATCAAGGTTAGGTTTTAAATCTTGTGCAACAGAAAATAAATATCTAAAGTGTTTCCATAAAATATAGGTAATTAAATATAGATTTACCAATCTTTCGAATGAATAAAAAAAATATGAAGAAATAACTTATACATTTTATATGATTTAATTTGTTTGAAATTATAAACATATGAAATAATTTTTTTTTTAAAAATTCATTTCACGCTTAACTAAACTACTTAAAAACGTCGAAATCTTTTACTCCGTATGCAATTTACGTATGAAGACAATAATTAAAGTCTATGATCAAGGTTTGGTTTCATATTTTTTTAAAACAGTAATTAATGTAATCTTACTAATATTTCAAGGGAATAAAATAAAACTGAAGAAATAATTGAGAACCTCTAAAATTGATTAATTTTAGCAGTTAAAAAAATTTTACACTTTAAAAAAATTATTCTTAATAAGTTTTGTATTTTTTATAAACATATTTGTTTTTAGACAAAATTGTCACTTATTTGAGTTAACATAAGAAACTAAAATAAAGAATTCGTATTTGTAATGAAATATTACTTATTGCTCAGTGCAAATATTCCATCAAATCATATAAACTATTCAAGAATTGCGAAAGATTGATTTTGAAATGTCATCTCGTGTACAAACTGTTGGACGCTGCACTTTCCTTTTACATCTCGTAATATATAACAAATATTAGCCTTCGAATTTTGAACAATTTAAAGATTATTGATAATTACTTCATCAAAAAGTACCTTAATATAGTTTGTTTTATTAAAAAAAAAAAAAAGGACGAAATTGAAAATTTGTAAACGATTTTTAAAAATTCGTTCTTATTCATTCGCTTTTCTTATAAAAAAGTGTTATTTTTCTTTACTTCAAATTTTTAAAAATAAAATGTGGCAAATCAAAGAATATATGTAATAACAATGCATTTTGCAGAAATAGTTAATGGTTATTTTTAAAATGCTAACACTTTTGATGTCCCATGACTTTAAGCAATTTTAATTACTGAAATAAAAATTCAAATGTAAATTTGAATGGAGTGCAAATTGTTTAATGCTTCAGGAG